TAATAATAATGTTTCTTATGAGATTTATCACTGCATTGCAAAAATTCAATACAGTGATAAATGTCATTTAGACGTCTGATAAATAAATGTACAGTTTACCTTAACAGATTGAAATACGATATTCTAAATACATAATGGTTACTTGATGCAATTGACCTTATTCACATTAAGTCGTATAATTGAGATAGAAATCTATTTCGCTAGACATAGGCTTGTTCATTGACACTTCATTCAACCTAGATTACATATGCTTGTCAAAAAGGTTATTTTTTCAACATTCAGCGATTTAGTGTTTCACAGCATAAGAGTAATTATTTTCCCTTTTGACGGAAAATGTACATACAGTTTTTCATTATTCGTCCAGTATGTTTAACAAAGGGAACTGTTGAATTGGAAATATAATTCCAATCTTTCTAAATAAATAACGTTTACAATGTTATTTACAATTGACAATAAAAAATTCAGATCATTATTTTGAAAGGCTGTGCACTTAAAAAACATTGGCTGTTAACATTACCTGCCAAAAAATGTTATGCCCACCTCACAAATACAATTACCGTATTACATGACTGAGTACACTAACATGTATTTTAGGTGATCATTAATAAGTGATCAACTACAAATAATGTACAGGTCAACATATTTTATGCTTTCAATGGATTTACAAAAAAAACCTTGATAACAATATTGCGTTCATTTTCGACACCCTTTTCAAAGCTAAACTGGTCAACTTTTTGGTATTAAGAATAACGGTTTGCAAAATAACTGAATTATAAAAATTATTTGCTTTTTTCTCAGACATTATTTACTAATTTCAGATAGCGTAAAAGTTGCTTCATTTACCCATCTTTTACGGTTAGCGTGCCCCATTCACTTTCTCTTCATCATGATTTATTCATATATTTACACGAATATAACGTTTATTAAATGAGCGAACTATGTGTTTAATTAACTTATGGGAATACTTAGATGAAAATGTGTTTACTAATTGTGTATTAAACATTTGACTACCTTTGAAATTCAATAATCACCATTATCAATTATTAATAACAATTGTCAGTTTTTTTCAAAAATTATCTTTCAATGATCTACACATTATTATTACTCTTGTCATGATAACTGATAACTTTAGTTGCATTTCTACTACATTACAAAAAAAATTATCCCCATATACATTCACTAACAGCAATATAGCAGGGTAATGAAAAGGATTTTTTTTAAGTTAAATTTTTTTACAAAACTCAGATGGAACAATGCGAAAATAGTTCATTATTGTAAATAATAATCGGATGTAAAAATGTCAATTCTTACATCCAATAAAAGCACTTTATTCTAGTTCGATTTGAACAAATCAGATTACAAAGCTGCACCATTTACAACCGATTAAAAATTTATTACAGGTGACAAAATGTTTGTTCATTTTCACTTGAGCACACACTTTCAAAAACAAGTTAACCAATCACCAATTGCTAAAAATTTTTCACATCCTTCATTTTAGAAAAAAGGGGGTGGTTGGGGATAATATAAGCCGTGATTTTAATGTCAACCAGTTCATTGAGACAGTGTTGTAAAAGCTACATGCCACAAAATGGGAGATTTTATAAACCTTTTTTTATTGTCTACTGAGTCATTTCATACATGTTTAAGAGACAAGCTATTTCAACCGATCAGTTCAATACGTATAGAGTTGTGGAACTAAGTTCAAAGATCATTCATAAAGGAACATTTTCTAACGTGTGAAAAAACACTTTTATCCATAGTTCAGTAAAAAATATCACACAGAATTATGAAATATCTTCTGAAATATGCAGCTTATACCAATTATGCATTACTGAACTGACCATTCAATATTATTTATGACATATATCATTTACCTAATCAATGTTACGTTATAATGAAATAACATAGTCATTTTTTCACTTATATTCGATTAAAATGTAATTTAATTATTATTTGCTAACTAGACTATTTTCGCCATTATAGACTATAAAGTCTGGTTTTATTCTCTGAAGAAGTGGCTTATACTGAGTCACGAGACGTCAGAAAATCTAATTTTTCTACTCATTGGGAAATTACAAATATATTAATTTATTTATAAAGTCTAGTATTTTTGTATTGACCAATGAAGTATCTTAAATTTAATAACAAAACCTATTATCTTTTTATTTTTGCACATACGAAGCAGACTGCTCGCAAGAGTACAGGTGGGAAGGCACCCAGGAACCAGTTAGCCACTAAAGCGGCTCGAAAAAGTGTCCCAGCTATTAGTGTTGTTAAGAAATCACATCATTATCGTCCTGGATCAGTAGCCCTACGTGAGATTCGTCGTTACCATATAACTCTTTTCCTATATTTTATTCCATATATATATGAGTGAATTACATTAAGTAAAACTTGTCTGGTAACAGAAATACAGTTTACATTTTTGTTATTCTCTTACTCTACTACAAATTAAAAATAAAAAATCAGACGTTTACAATCAATACTATTGTATATGTCTATGATACATGTGACTATCGTCTGAAAATAAATAGGTCTTATCTAATTTTATCTGTTTTCATTACGTAAGTATTTATTACCATATATATATATATATATCTGGAATAAAATATAGGAAAAGAGTTTTTCTATTCTTTATATGCTTACAACATAAGATGAAAATCTGTTACAACTACTATGCATGCATACATACATACATATACATATATAGACCTAAGAAACAAGGTCATATTCATTATAGATTAATGTTTATAGTAGTCAGACTAACAAAACAAATTATATCATCTGATTGTCTAGACTATATTGATTATAGATCCATAGGGAAAGAGAAACAATTTAATACAGTCGTTAATGAAATATGACTATTTTGTTTTTCTTCTGATACGTAATTTTCATTTATTTACTTCAAGGTTATATTAACACACCCACATTGAATTATTGTCCAATCATATTAAGAAGAAAAAAAACTTTTCCTCTTTTCAAAAAAAATATTTTTTGATTCTTTCTTAAACAAGAAATATAGAATTCAATGGAATTATGATCAATATATAAAAATATACTTACGAACGGGTTATGTGAAATGATGTGTTGCTTAGTTCTGTCACCGATGTGAATGAATGACCATGACCCTGGCGCGAGCTTAAACTACTCGAATGAATATATAAAAGAAAGGAATTATCGTTAAAGTAAAGAAAATATTTCATTTACTACTTTGAATATATATGCGTGTGTTGTCTAGTCATAATGACACTATGATGTAAGGTCTTTGTGTCTGTACACATAACTATATTCCATATGAGCTGCTATATTTTGGCGCAAAACAATATGTTTAGATGTCATTATGCAAAATGATAAATTCAATATGGAACAGTCAGTCAGTCAGTCACAACGTAGAACTTCGTATGTACGTTCATCAGTTCGAGTTGCCATACCACATTAGCACAGAGATTCAGTTGTCGTCAATATGGAACGTTCCTATATGCATAATCTAACAATTATTCCGTTTTTACTTGCTGCCCTACAGCCAGTTTTCCAACACCAAAAAACGTAATATATGGTTATCACAAGGGGGTTTGTGTAGATTTTAGTAATTTTATATAGTTAAGATCCTGAGTAAATTGAAGCTAAACCACCATGGAAAACTTGGAAGCACTGGAAGGCCGTTTCGTCCTATTATAGGACTACTCAGCAGTGCGCATCCACGATCCCACATCCGCGAGATTCGAACCCAGGACCTACTAGTCTCGCGCCAGAGCCCTTAACCGATAGACCACTGAGCCGGCATCCAACGGTGTTAACGTCTAACTTCAACCAATCCACGAAATCTGAGCAACCGTTCACCAATTGTCTTCAGTGAGCTGATATCTCTACAACAGACTTGGTAGAACTCCACTGGTCACTGCTTCCCACTAGAACTCAAGGAAATATCTTTTGAAGTCAGTCACTAGTGAGCATATGATTATAGATCAGAGGGGGTTTTGTGAAGAATTAATTATTTTCACTGCTCACTAGTGACTGACTTCAAGAGATATTTCCTTGAGTTCTAGTGGGAAGCAGTGACCAGTGGAGTTCTACCAAGTCTGTTGTAGAGATATCAGCTCACTGAAGACAATTGGTGAACGGTTGCTCAGATTTCGTGGACTGGTTAAAGTTAGACATTAACACCGTTGGATGCCGGCTCAGTGGTCTATCGGTTAAGGGCTCTGGCACGAGACTGGTAGGTCCTGGGTTCGAATCTCGCGGATGTGGGATCGTGGATGCGCACTGCTGAGTAGTCCTATAATAGGACGAAACGGCCGTCCCATGCTTCCAAATTTTCGATGGTGGTCTAGCTTCAATTGACTCATGCTTTCAACTACGATAATCATTTTATTGTTAACATGTGCTTTGTGGACATTTTCGTTTTTTTTTTTACATTCAACATAAAAACAATTCATCATGGGGGAGATACGTTATCATTCATACCACAAATTAATATTCCTATCATGTCTATACACTGTGTAATGATTAATGATTCATGTCCTTTTTTCTTAAATATAAATCTATGCTGAAATTCGTGTATGTATGTGTGTGTGATTCTAATTGATTGACGTGTAAATCACTGAACAAAAGCAGCCTTGACCTCATTTATGGCATGTAAAATATTGACTTTTCAGTTAACATTGTCTATGACATACATGTGTATTTATTTATATCTGTATATGATTCCATTGTCTGTGCAGATCTGAACAAAAAGTTTCTTGCACATCTTCATATGCCATAATAAATCTCGGTTATACTCTTTAAAACTCATTATATATATATATATATATATATATATATATATATATATATATATATATATATATATATATAGGCATATTTACATACAAACATAATGTAAATTAAATATTCCTTACCAATTCACCTAAATGTTGGTTTCAACTTGAACATTCATGAATATGTGAAAGACTACGTTATTGTGTTTTATGATTTTAATAATGAACATTGAATACTTTGTATTTTCATTGAATTGTTTAAATCATCTAATATAATATGAAATATGAAGACAGAAAGAGAGAAAAAAAACTTTTACCAAACCTTTTGAAATGATATTCAATAAAGAACTAGAGAAATTTTAAAAAATTTCTGTGTGTAGTTTATGAAAATGTCAATTAATTTTCAACGTTTGTTTATAGTGATTTATAAAAAATATCAATTCAATAATCAATTCTAGTATGTACTATAAAAATTCATTTTTTTATTAACATAGTAGACTAAATTGTACCTTGGCAACAAAAATTATAACTTCTCAAATGTCTTTCATTGAACCATTAAAAACTAGAAAACAATGAACAACTGTTTTTTAAAAAAATTTTATTGTGTTCAACTCTATGATAATTCATGTTCGCAATCCTTCATTGTATTGAACCTAGATCATACAATTAATATGTTAATTTTTATCTTATCGATCAGTTCATTGATAATTAATTTAAATATATATCAACCTTTATTCATTCATTTAATTACCGATTGTTCAGCAATGAAAAAAACACGATCAAATATGTATGCTACTTAAAATATTAAGATGAGTATTATATAGTCTTCTTAATCTTTATTGATTTTCAGAATGGTTCTAATTGTCTTCGCTTCAAAATAATGTTAGTTAATGATAAAGGTCATTTCTCAGATAATTCAACATATAAAATCCCTATAATCTTAATATTAAGACTGGTCACATTTAAACAAATGAAAAATTTTTAAGTGTTAATTAGTACTTTGTGTAAATCGGACTAAAATGAGATAAGTAAATCGGCGAACAAAGAAGGTTAATATCTGTGTTGAGTAAAATATATGTATATATATATATATATATATATATATATATATATATATATATATATATATATATATATATATATATATATATATATATATATATATATATATGTACTAACATAAATTTCGAAATACAATAATTGCTTAAGTGTGGATAGGTTAAACAACACACATAGTCCTGATCCATGAAATCATTAACTATTTCCTTGAATAAAAAATTTATTGATTTAATGAATTTATCGATATCTCAATATGGTTAGTAATCTTGAATCACATCTGTCATCAAAGCATTTTGTTATGTGTATAATGAAACAATCCATTGAGTAAGGGATAATTCATACACACAGTAATAAATAAATGTACCAAATCACATGGTGAGATTAAGAAACGTTATCGATTGAAGGAAATTTAATCTATGAAATGTACTGTAAGAAGGCCTATACATTTCTCTAACAAGACAAATGAATGAAGGTATCAGCCTGTAAATACCCATTAATTAACCATTGGAAAGATCAGAAGTAACTCAATAAATCCTTTGGTCTTATGAAATATTACCTCAAAATTCTTCTTTACTTTTCTGAAGCTCTTTAATAACACTATTTATACATGCTTCACTAGTCAATACATAATCTCTAATTTGAGCTAATAATTAATAAAATAGTACAGATATTTTCAAAACTATTAACATATCATTGTAATCATTTCTGCTATCTGGTGTTCACATTAGTCGATTAACCACTTGATCAGTATCATGTGTGTTGTTATTTATGATTAATTTGCAGTTGACAATTAAGTAAAAATACATAAATTTATAAATGAATCAATCACCTACATAACATTATTAACCGTCAATCTCTATTAACAAGTTGACTCACCAAATAATTAACATCAAATGGTAGTTTAATAAACAGATCTTTTTTCCTTCTGTTTTCGGAAAATTTAATGACCTTAAAGAAATGCATTTGGTCCTTAGTTCGATTTCAAACTATTTCTGTATATGTGTGTGAGTCTGTGTATGAGTTTCCTCTTATTCAACACTATTCATCGCTTATTGACCATATCTATTTGGACGTACTTTTTCACTAGCTAACCAAATGATTTAATTGAAAATTAACAATAAAACAGACAGTATAAAGTACATTTTAAATGAATGTAAGATTTCTTATAGGAATATTATTTTTTCATTACAAAAAATAGAAATTTTTCAATCAGATTAACTTGGTAACTATAGATAATAACTTATAACACAGTGAATATCACTGACTGGTCTAAGTTAAACAACCAGTAAAAGCCAGGAACCCTTGGATAGTTGTTTCATCCTAGTATGAAACTCCTCAGAAGTGTACATGCTCGATTCCCGTACCAGTGATCAAACCCAGGATCTTCGGTCTCAAGCTCGAGCGTTTAGCCTCTAAAACTCTAAACCGCCATTCAATGGTTTACATGTTTAACCCTGATCAATTCTTGACGTCACGCCACCATTTTCCAATTTACTTCGAGATTAACTGTCTAACACTCGATATGTCTGAACTTCATTGATCATGTCTTCTTACTAGAAATTTAAAATGACCTCTCGAAAAATCTTCATACAAATCTATAGTAATAATTTATTTTTTGAAGATTAAACAATAGAATCCCCATCTAAATAAGCTCAGTAGGATAATTTATATTCATTTACATTTCAAGCTATTATATATTGTTACCTGAATTAAAAGTATATAAAAAGGTATTCTGTGCTTATTACGTATCAGTGCAAAACTTATATGCAAAGTTAGATTTCTGCTACTAAAATTTAGTTTCACTTAAAAGTTGTACGATCTTTATAAGTTGTTTTTATTCTGAATTACAAGGCTTAAACTAGAAAATTTTGTTTCATGTAATGGTATTTACCTTCCAGGAAACCAAATGTAAAAATTTATTTGTGTTATAAATAGGTTAATAGATGAAAGAGGCTTTATTATGTTTAAATGTGAACACAAATAATCCTAAGGAATTGAACGATCTAAAAGTAACAAAAATGTGCACTGCGACCTGAAAACCTGAAGAGTTCAATCTCTGGAGGAATCATGGGGATGTATTGTTGAGAAGTTCCATACTAGGATGAACGGATTGTCCAGTACTATCTAACTTTCAAAAGTGTACCAACTGTGATCAATCTACAATAAAAACCGTCTATAAATTAATGAACATGAGACCATCCAGTTAATTAATTATTTCATTCATACATCAAATGACTTGGATAATGGTAGTATTCATTTAAATAAATGGATTTTCTTTACATAGTAACACTTAGATATTCTTAATTTTAATATTCATATTCTTTTTAAATGGATAGTTTACTTTTAAAGTTTTCAATATCATATATATATATTAAAAATAAAGAAATTCAGATCTTTAATTTAATTAAAAGAAAATAGTGAATACTTGTAAGAATGTAATCATTTTATTCAATGGACGTGAGTAACGTCCATCCATACTATTGTAGTGAACAAGAACACGGGTAGGGGCAATCGAATATATTTCAGTACAACATTACAGAATATCTCATTAAAATATGAGAATCATATAGTGAATAGTTAATTTGCAAAAATAACAATCAGTTGTTTCAATTTGACTGTTTCTTTTATAAATATCCGTTCATAGTCTCCGATTATAATTGTTCATGCATTTTCGTACCAATTGAGTGCCGTTCCCATTCTCTCCTTATCGATCTTCTGCTGAAATACATTCAATGCCCGACCATTACCATAAACTACTTATGTGAATATCAGTAACCTACACCCCACTATAAGTCTTAATTATTATTATTATTAAGAAAAATAAATGTTTAAAATATTTCAATGGAACATCTTTTTCAATCAAACTATTGATTTATTGATTAAGTTTGATTTGAATTATAATTTTACTGTTCATGTGTTTTTTCTCTATTTATTAGTAACTAATTAATTAAGAAAATTACATGAACGCGAAAGGATAGATGGAATCGATATCATAAATATAAAATGTTATACTTTGTTTTTTTTCTAGAAGTAATAATATATTTTTATTGTTATAGCTAAAAATCACCTATGTACCTTAACCATAAATTAGAATCAATATTATTTCCTTCGGTGTTTTTACTTTTAACTTATCTGTTAACCCAAATCAAAGACATAAATAAATGGATGGATATATATAGATATATTATAAGTGAAGATTGCAAATAATCGAGATACTGATTCTATCGATAAAAGAGATATAACAAAGGTTTTTAGTAGCCTGAGATCTGACTCCAAGTATATCGTTTGTTGCTTATTATCAAAATATACATGTTGTCAATCCTCGCATATGACCATAGACTTAAATCGTGTTGGTGAATAACGGAATTAAAAATAAGTCAAGTACGAGAATGGATTTTTGAGTACGTGTATTTCGTACAATCTTTGATCGGATGGTGAAGCAAAACAAAAATGACGCGCAATGGTGAAGGCAAGTGAGTCAATTCAAGTTAGCCAGGCGTGAATCGATATTTATAGTCAGATAAAAAAATAAGTCACAGACACAATAATGAGTAAGATAAGTAATTGACATACAAGCGATCAAATAAAACAGTCAGGATTAATAAGCGGGCGACAGTGTAGACATGTGGCTTGAGAAGAATGAATAGATTGATCAGTTCAGAGGCTAGAGTAATCTATGCAGGCTTGACATAGTACCAGACCCTACAGGTTGAATTTACTTACGATCATGTTAATAACTAAACAAATATACAGACAGCAGTTATTGTAAAACTCGATAATTCCAAACTGTACATAAATGTTCGGTGAAACAATAAAATATCTTTTGCGCTTTCAATTTCTATGATCATTGCCATGCTGAATTCAGTTAAGCCAGTTCCACAGTATCTCTCTGACTTTTATGTGATAAGTATTATTGAAAGTCTGTATGCATTGCTATTGACTCTAAGTAATAAAGGCTTAATTTTTAATAAGTCATTCCAAGACTCAACAGCAGTGTGAACCATATCCAGATTAATCAGATTCAAGAATTACAATAACCATGTTACCTTTAGCTCATCGCTTACTTGGGATTCCTTGGTTTACAATTTTAGATTTAGCCAACTGATATTCAACTTCCAAGTATCACTCAATTAACAATTTTCCTACGACTATTCTTCACAGAATAGTCATTTTTATCTATTTCTTATTGTTACTCAAATTTTGTAGATTAAGTTGTAATATAAACACCAATCTACGTGACTAGATATCACGTGAAGTGTATTTTGATTGATAGGGGGGCAGTCAATATGAAACGGTGGATCTATATTTCTTGCTACTTGGTTCATTCCACCAAGGTTTGTCAGTAATCTTATTGAGAACGCATGCTCTATATTGTATCCGAAGATACGCTTTGACGTTAAGACTGAGATATTCAGTCCATGACTTAAGACATAATTAGTAAGCTAGTAATGAGTAAACGACAGTAACCGTAGTTGCGGTTCAATAATCAACCAATTTAAATAAATTTACTAAACTAAGTTTAATGGTAACGTTCTCGTAACATGATATAATATTGTAGTGAACAGAACACGACTGGGGACAATCGAATGTATTTAAGCAAAGATTACAGACTATCTCAGTAAATTCTGATAACCAAACAATGAATAGTCAATTTGCAAATTAACAACCAATTGTTTCAATCTTCACTGTTTCTTCTCTTATTCCATTGCTCATGCATTTTCCAAACGATTGCGCTTCATTTCAGTTCTTTGCCCATCGGTGTTCTGCCAAAATACATTCTATGTCTGACCCACACCATATACTACTTATATGGATATAAGTAGAACACACCACAATATCAGTCGCGATCCAACTGGGGCTATCACTCTAATCATTATTGGAGATATAGCTTCTTGAGAATACCAACTAGAATGAAACAGTCTAGAGTTTGCTGTTTCAGAAAGCCTCTAACAACTTTACAACAATTTTTCTCATTTTATTTTAAACGGAAATTGAATGCTATGGAAAACGACATAATGTTAGAGGTTGTTAATTTATTCATTGACTAAATACTTTAATTGCATTACAAAGAATTGACTAACTAAATAACTGACAATGAATATCGAAATTCAGTACACTTTCTATACTGTCTATATCAGGTCAATTATCGATTTTCTGCAATTTAAAGACAGAAACGTTTGTATTATTATTATTATTATTATTATTATTATTATTATTATTATTATTATTATAGCCAGTTTACATGTATTTTTCACACTGATAGATTATAAATATAATAGTAATAGTAATGACAGTAATATTAAGAAGAGAGTACGACCGGTTAGAATATGAATGAATGAATAATTAGTACATTACCAGATCATCACAAACTTATATCATCGTTTTCTCTATCTCCTTATTCCTCACAACCACACGCACACATATACAAACGCTATACTTTTTTTATGTAATATAAAATAATGTGCTCAGTTTGTTATGTTCTTTTCTAAGAACATGTACGTTGAAGGTCAAATTGAGGACAAGGTTAAAATACAGATTTTTCTCCATTATTTTCTAATGTTAATATTTATTCTTGTGTTAATAAAAAATAGAGAACTATATCAATGAATGTCTAAAATTTTATGTATGTATAAAGAGTTAACTATCTTGTCCTTATTTTATTATAGACAACCATAGCTCTATGTAAGAATTTTCAATAACGTTAAGTTAACCCGGCTAGAAAAAAAACTGCTGACTATCAACAAGTAAGAAAGAGAAATTGAATAGTTATCATATAATTAACTACAAAATACATATTTGATCATAGAATCATATGTTCACTAATGACTAGTTTCAAGATGGATTTCCTGGAGTTCTAGTGAGAAGCCATGACCAGTGGAGTTTAATTCATGTCAGGTAGAAACAGTTATCCACTTTAGACAATAGACGAAGGGTTGTACAAGATCATAGATCGACTGAAGTTAGACATCAACACAGCTGGATTCCGGTTTAGTGGCTAGCAGTTAAGCGTTCATGCGCGAGACCGAAGATTATTGGTTAGAGTCCCAGGTGTCGGATCGTGGATGCGCACTGCTGAGGAGTCCTATACTAGGACGAGACGGTCATCCAGTGCTACCAGGTTTTTAATAATGGTCTAGCTTAGATTGGATCATGAATCCAACTACTCAAATTACTAAAATGTCCACAAATCCCCACTCAGAGAAAAAAATAAATGACGATAATTCCAATGGTGGTTAACGACAACACAAAATACTTTATAAGTATTTTGGTGCAAATTATAAATGTACATTTGTCGTTCAAACAATTTCAAAGCATACTAATGATTAGTTGATTTGTAGTGGTTCGGCTTCGGGATAATTCTTTATGTTTCGTTTATCAATCACCTTGATAACCGTTGTCATATAAACCCCAACGGTGTTTGAATTCAGAAAGGCAACAAGAAGTGGCGACTACGGTTTATTATTGGACAGCACAAATAAGAAAGTTACAAGCAAATCATGAAAATTGGGGCAGAGAAGCTAGTATGTGTGCGCGAGTGAATACAGAGGCGAATTTATCAAGGGGCAGCTAGGTAAGGCAAAGGCTATTAATAGGATTGGAGCACATATATGCATGGTAAAGAGAAGGGCTGATCGAGAGATGTTTAGGCTATCAATATTTAAGCTAGATAGAGATATGTGCGTAGGTTGTCACTGTGGTCGAGCATACACGTTTATGCAGACATGATAGTGATCATAGTACTACAAAGCGATAGACAAATTGTTACTGTTCTAATGACACTGTCTGTTAAATAAATTAATAAAAGGGCTCGAAAAAATTAACCCTGATCAGAATGAATTATGGAATAGTTGTTATAGTTCTTATATTACGTTGTACCAGTTCTTTCAGGTTCAAATAGATCACTATAGATTTCATCAATAGTAGGTGATATTTGATATCTTCTTTTTAAAAACTATTGACATACACGGTTAAAAAGTTTGTAAAAATTAATTTTATTTATAAAGTGCTTTCGTCATTGATTCATATTAACTAGCAAGGCGCTGAAAAGCATGTAGTATCGACATATCTATGTTATCCTAGTCAGTATAAATAAATAATGTTCTTGTCTTATAGAAGACTCACTACCTATCGATCATTGGATTGTCATTTAATTACTGGCATTTCTAACTTTAAATATTATAACAGATTTAGCTCAATTTATCAATCAATCAGGCAGTAGCGTTTATTTGTAAATCAACTAGTATTTAAAGGCGGTAAAATTAAAGGGGAGTAATATAAACAGAGATGGATGATGACTAACACTGGAATTTAAGATGTGCGTATTATTCTACTTATGATGTTTGTGACTGAAGGTAATAACGAAGCAATCCGCACTGGATGTACATATTCCAATAAGAGACTAATCGAATGCAGTTGTAAAAGTCAGTGGGAAGATATTCAAACAACTAATAAAAAATAAAGTTTGATAACAGCATACTTTTATCATTTCGACTAGTTACAAATTCTGGAATTGTGCAAGCCGATTACTAATTTTGGAGATTAAATTGAATCTAATTTTCATTAAAGATTGATATGGGATATATGTATATGCTGCTATTTCAAAAAATCAACATCCTAACTGATCTAAAATAATACAATTTTTTAAAGATTTCAGTCATAAATTCTACTACTGCCTCTTTGCTTGGGAGAAAATGTAAATGTTTCAGTCACTGAAAAAATTTATATCTAACATTTACAACATAAACAGTTCACACGGATGACGGAAAATTTCCTCATTACTATGACTGGAGAGTACTGAAAAAAGACAAAGCAGTTATCTAACTCTTATTCATTAGCTCCGCCCGGAGCCCTTCTAGGATTAACAGCAGTCCCAAGCCCGGGTAAAGGAGGGTCGGGGTTAGCAACCCCGGAAAAGAGCGCTAACCAGGAAAAAATCATTCAAACCGTTCATTGTCTTGTAATCTTTTCACAGGGCATTGTTTAAGCAATAATGAAGACTGAAAGTTGATTTCTTCAGAACAAAGATCAGTCCTATCACTGTTAAGGAGAAACTAACTTGGTCATCAATAAGTGCTTTCTATGCTGAGCTTAAGAAAGAGGATCGAAAGATACAATTTACCTTTTATATTCTGCAGGATAATTTCTTCAAAATTCTTAGACTACATATGCTTAAAGACAACTTTGAGTCAGTAGCTTCTATTAGAGTGAAATTCAATTCAACTACTATCCCAAACAATTGAATTCCTAATTACAGGGGAGGAGATTTTCGAGAGATTAACATTGAATTTCATTTGTGGTAGTGCTAACAAAAATCGATGTCGAGAATATTCAGTATCACAAGTTTTGGCGTGACAAATACAGCACAAGTAGAAACTTGTCACTTTGTATACGTTGATGTAGTGGATAACTTTAGGTGAATAATTACTTCTGTCCTTTCCCCAGTACTCGCTGAGCTAAATGAAACCAAACTAAGTGAACATCAATACCAAACTTATTATTTGATCGATTTGGTGCGAAAAAGTACTTTAATCTAAAATGTCTCATAGTTGAGATTTTTCCCACCAGAAGCAAAAAGTCACGTCCAGACAGCGAAAAAAAGACATCACTACGCCTATCTTTAGCGCCAGTAACTACTGTTTCGTGATATTTAAGTGAGGAAACTACTTTGCATGTTTGCTATATAATATCTTGTTTTTGATTGGCTAGCTAGTTAACCAGTCAGAGGTCAAAAAGGGTTCGTTTGTATTTTTATACCTCACCCACTCATTTTACAAAGACACGTCGTATAGCAAAACGACTAAGTGAGAAAATTTGAAGGACATGTTTAAGGGCATAGACTAAGATAGACAGACAACAAACAATAATCCAGACAATAGCCACGCGTGTTCTCTTAACCAGCCCACGTTTCGTTTTGGTGTGTGTGACCTTGTTATGTTCATACCTCACACCCCTCCCATGGTCCGTCTGTGATCCGTGTTTTTAATTGTAGACAGGTATCTGTCAGAAGCGTTTTTTTTAAATAATAGGGTTTGGGGACGTCTGGTCATTTTGCTTCGGAATGTTTTGTGGGAAGGCATTTGAGTTGGTTCCATTTATACTTGTCCGTCCAAACTGCTGAACATTCCTATATGATATTACACTATTTTTTGCACGTACGTTATGGCGTTCCCTCTTCCCAATAATCCGTATTTCTCAACATCACCTCTGGCAGATGTGGCTGAATTCAGACAGAATCTGGTTTCACGAATTTTCGGAAGACCTCAGGACTATGATCTTTCGCTCGCATCATCCCAACCACCTGAACTACTTCGTAGATCTGATCTTGTAAATCCCCAGAAAACTCTGTGTACACCTAACAATTTATTAAATTCTCCAGGTTGGTTTCAGCATGCTCTTGCATCCAGTCTTCAAATGGGTCTTTTGTCTCTACCACGGTACATGCTCAAGGATATTTACTTACCACCTTTGCCTTCCCAACCTCTTAATATGAGGTTGCCCCGAGCTACAAACATTCATGCACCTTTTGAACCATCAGTTCCCGAAGTAAAACCAAAGATCACTAGTAAATGTACATCTCGACCAGAACATTCTCGTTCCTCTTCAGTTAATGATTGTGAGAATTTCTTTACTTGTCGCCAACCTACAGTTCGGCCTACATTAAAAAGACAATCAGAGAGACCAAAGACAAATTGGGGTTCAAATAGTGCATCTAATCCTCTTGCGTCAATTGAATCACAAGATACGGGGAATTTAGTTCCCAGTCTCATTGACGGTGAAGTCATAATGGGATTTAATGTTTGGGGCGAAAAACGATTATGTTTACCACATTTATTTCGTTTTGTGCTACACGATGTGGATTTACAGATCATAGATAAGGCATGTACAAAGCTTCAAATAGCATGCACAACGTGTACCCCAGCTCAATTAAGTCTGTTACATTCACGCCAAATACTTCCTCGTACTGTCGGTAGCTGTGGTCTAATTCGTAAAAGCGATGCAGAAAGGTTGACCAAGTATATTCGTCACCAAAATATGTGTCTGGAGGGATCCAATTGTGAAGAGAGTTCACCATGTAAATCTCCAGTTAATCCCTGTATTGGTGAAGATGCTGAAATTAAAACTACTAGTGGTATGGGCTTTCTTAAGGACCATCGACAACTGAGTCCTGTCTCAACTGACACTTCTAAATCAACTAAATCACTAGATAATGCGCAGTCATCAGATCGCTTAGATTCCGGTCATGATGAAAACCAGCCTGAGAATAATTGTAAAAATTCTGTGGAATCTAGTGTTATTCCAGTAATACATGAATGTTTTGGACGACAATTGGGATTAATATATCCGAATATGTATAAGGAACCTTATTCAAAATGTATCAAATGTGTCACATGTTGTCGATATTTTTCTCCTGAGCAGTTTGTTGGACATACACATACCGTCACTGAAGTCGATAATTTAAACCATTGGGGTTTTGATTCTACTAATTGGCGGTGTTATCTTCGTTTGTACACGGGTCGCCGGTTAAATGTGAATGTTAGTTCTATTCTTTCCAATATTAATACTATGCGTGGTCATGAAGCCGTTGCGAAATCTAATACCAAAGAACCTGTGGTTGCCGTGGACGCTCATCGTCGACTGGAAGAATTCAAAATTAAGTTTGCACAGGTCAGTTTATTTTTGTGTTCGTTTGCCACATCAATGTCTAATTGGTATATCATATTGAACGTCCAATCACTTAAAACATTCTCGATCATTTTTGCATGAATATCTTCTCAAAGTATCCCTTGCTGTTCATTATACCCTAATTTATTTTCCTCATACGAAAGTTTTCTTTTCAGCTTATATTAAAAACAAATTCCTTTGTTTTCTGCAAATCCATTTTCTAGGCATTAAGGTTTTCCTTTAATGTATGCCGCCTTTAAAATATAAATGATTATGGCGATATGGAACGGTATTTTGCTATTATTTTCGAGTTGATTTCTAATTAATGTTTATTTTCTCTACATTTCACCCCCGTCTTTCCTTATCCATTCGGATTCATTCATAATTTAACTTCGCCCATCACGTCTCTCACTACTTACTAGGGTCTGTGTTACTTTCATATATTTAGTTGTACATTATTCATCAATGTATTGATCCGTTGTTCCATAAATTAATGAAATTAGCCTGAATATTTGCGAAAACGGTGATTTTATTCTCTCAATAACAGTCGTTGAGTCACTTGTATTATTCTTACTGAGTACCTTATTCTGATACGATCCTAATCATTTTAGAATAAGTTCATTTTGACCATTAACTTCGTGCAACATTTTTGATCCTCGAAATTATTAAAATTTTCATTATATCTCAAAACGTCAATGTTAATTATGTCAAGTGATAGTTCTTCATGGCGATCAGACGAGTTTCAAAGTGTTCGCTTGTGACTTTCACTTAATTTTATCTTTAAAGTCTCTTCACAGAGCACTTATCTAACGAGGAAAGACATTTACCCCCCTCCTCAGTACGTACATTATTTTGTAAGACTACATAAATTACTGAACACTTATGATGCATTAGCTATACATTTCAGATGAAGCATTTACTTCAAAAATTATTTCATAAACGATGAGTACGTCAATTTCAGTTGTCATTTGTTTTGACATTAGTTCCAATCAGATCTCCCCCTCGAATAATTCAGTCTTATTATTATCTTTCACTTAATAATACCATCTAGTAAGAGAACTAACAAAATTGTATAAGTTTTCAAATTTTATTTTGTATTTTTGTTTTTACATAATTAATAGGTCTTTATTTATTCTTTCTCGAGTATTGTTAGACTTCAACTTCTTGTCGAAGCTAACTAATATTCGTTTATTCTTATTTGAATTTTTCAGTGATTGGGTTACGAGCTGAATTAGTAATGTTGTGAATTGATTATAGTCATATATAAGTATCGTTAGATGCCGGCTCAGTAGTCTAAGGGTTAAGCGTTTGCACGCGAGGCCCTGGATTCAGTTCCTGCATGCGGGATCAGAAATGCACACCTTTGAGGATTCTCATGCTAGGGTGAAATGACTATCCAGTTCTTTCAGATTTTCAATGGTTGTCTAAGTTGGATCGATTCACGATTTCACTGAAAATTTAATTTGATTCAGTCTTGGGTAGTATCATGTTAACATCTCGTTTTTTGTTGTCAACCATCATAGAAATATGAAACAATGTACTTTAAATTAATTTTACAACATCTATTGTGTTGTTATCACGGCATATTACATGTGATGTACATCGCTGATTATTATCATAGGAACTACTCAAAAACTATGAATCCATTCTCTCTTTCAGGATAGCTAATATTTCTTGATAGGTAGATTGAAGTTTAAGATTACCGATATCTTATTAAGGTTTCAATGTTTGCTTATATGTAACAGATTTTATATTAAGTATAAGGAAATATCTTTCTTACTGACTGTAGCAGTATGGAATAACTTTGAAATCATTAAATTATTGCCATCAAATGCGTAAAATATAAACTTCGTGAATTCTTCATCCTATTGTAATTGATTATTCGTCTGAAAATGTACTAGACTTCTATAAAATACTTTATTTATAATTTTTATCATAATTATTTGGAATTTTCAAGTGTTTTTAGTTATAAAATTCTGGTAATTTGTCCGGATTATTCGGATATCACCAAGTGCTTTTTTGTTGTTGATTCGAAAGCTAATACGAGTCAATGCTGAAGTTTGCATTGAACAGACTCTGAAATATTCTGTCTATAAAATTCCCATATAATTATGAGTGTATAGCAGTTCGAATGTTTTAACATGTTTAATGTTTAGTTTGGAACGTTTTTCTTGTTAGGTATGGTTATTTTTAAAAGTATTTACCATTTGGATATGCGAATATTGCAGACTAGTGAAAAAAGCTAACTATATACACGAATCCATACTAATATAATGAACCACTTTGTTTTTCTGTTATACAACAGCCTATTAAACTACCCCCATCCTTAGGTGCAGCTTTACGAAGTGTAGGATTATGTGCATCTGTGGCTCCATTTCCTGCTGGTACAACTAACTCACAGCGTCCTCAAACTTCTGAAGCTTCCATATGTGAACAAATCTCAGCCCTGATACGAAAAACTAGTCAGTCGAAAACTCATCAGTTCCTCCCTGTACGGCCAAATAAAGCACTTGACCAGACAATAATCAGTACTTCAAGTAATTCAGCCCCAAATCAATCTTCCCCTTCCAATATGATACTGCCCCAACTAACACTGCGTCGTCTATGGGCACCAAACGATGGTCGAATTAAGCTTCCACCTCCACCTAGGTTACTGACAAGCTGGTAAGTCCATAAATCCATCATATAGTGATACATGTTGAATAATTCTTTTCCTATTCTTTATTTATAATCGATTCACATGGAAGGCAAACACTGTTCTAAATTTATTATTCATGTTATTTTTCTGTGTCCAAAGATAACTTGTCTGATGATATATGTATATGGGTTTTATACATTCCTGTAGATGTTAATTTGGGCTCTTCTTTGTTAGTGTGGACGCTCCTAACTTTGACCTCATTTTTGGGATTGTCTTTGTTAGATGTCACTCTTTATTTACACCATTGTTACCTTTGCATCAACAAATGAGGACAAGTCGTATGTTCATCTTAGTTTTAAACTAATTGTTTGTTAGCTGATTTGTATTCCTATTGTCTATCTGTATGAATGTACTTTTCAATAATCTCCAATGTTTGGTAGTATGACCTTGTAATTTTCTCTAGGAAAATGGTTTAATATATATATATATATATATAATACCGTTTTCCTTCCTGTTTTGCTTTTGCAATAAACACTGCCAATATATGACTATGTTGGATAAGTGTTTTTAGAGACATGTTCTACCGAATGTCATGACTTGAAAATGTTAAATTTAACAATTTACATGACGTGGTTTGAATAACATTCTCTGAACGACACTTAAGTTTAGGTTAAGTCTGTTCCTTTCTGTTTAAAATAAACATCTATACATTAAATTAGTATATTTCATGTGTTTATTTAGTGGATCAAAACATTGAGAAATATACATGTATGTAATACTGATGTAAATTCATCACAGATCCAGTCATACAATGAAGAAAATGTCTGAACTACGACAAAGTCAAGTTCTAAAAATAGACTATCCTATCAAAACAACATTAATTGTTGTTTCGATGGCGTTGTTTAAATTTTATAAACGAACAGAATTAATGAGGAAATTCTGTGTTGATATTTTATGAGCCCTAATCGATTAATCGGTAATGAATTTTACCACTAACCTAAGGAAAATAGCTACTTACAACCATAATTTCTGTTTCTTCCTCTCCTTGTTAGGCACAAATACTTAAATAAGTATCTCTCTGTTGGAGACTTAGTAACTTGATATGAAAAATATTTATGTTGTCTTTTGTCCCCAATATTTCACGTTTTTATTGGTTCTTTAATGATCTGAAACTTCAAATCGGACTATCGCTTTTTATGTTTTGAGGGAATCCATTATTTCGATAATGCAACGAGAAGACGAAGTTTATCAGAATTATGTTAAGTTAACGAGATAAAGACAACTTTTTTATAGATTTATGTCATCCAACTTCGGGACCCGGTATGATGAAACATCTGTATATTAATGTAGTTATGGCATTATTTAAATAAAATATACTAGTTGTTAGGATAAAGGCAAGTGTTTACTTGATTTACAGTTCAAGATAGGAAATATTATGTGATCAAATTATCATCCGATGTTTATAATAGATTTTAAACATAATAGTCTGACACATACTACTAGCCAAAATGAGTAGTTGATCACTTAGACTAAATAGAAGGTCTATACAAATGGAGGTAGTTTAAGTAAATAACAAGTGTTTCATTTGTTTTGAAGTTGAGCCTATGAGTTATGCCTCTGCACAAATTCTTCTGACATAATTAAACTTATCAGATCAATTAGATTATAAGTAGCTATATGAACAAACAATAAATACGTTAATCCATTACAGCTTACTAATATGTGTTATGTTTAATTTCAGTTAAATCATGGAGAAATATTCGGTTTGAGTTATTTCTACGAAGGAAAAATTGATTAAACATGGTTTTCTGCCTCAAAGTTTATAGTTACTTTCCGTTGTTTAATCATAAATTTGTCATGCAACGTAATGGTTACTATATTCATTAGAATGCTTCAGTTTGATGTTATGTGATAAAAATAAATCAAATTACTGCTCTGTTTGTTACAAAATATTGATTCTACCTGCCGAGTAGAAGTTGGAATGAGTATATCATTACTAACTCATTTAGTCCCATTTTAAAAATATGTGTTTGTTCACTCTAAATTGAATGCTCATTAGTAGATTTAAGTTGGGTTCTTGTTTTCGGATGAAATATAGTTGGAAATAAAACTTAAAAATTGTTATCCTCTGGTACTGCCATTAAACAGTATGGATTATTTGCCGATACTATTCGCTAATAATTTGAATATGTATTAAATAGATCAAAAATCATTCAGCTTTCAAAAAGAAAATATCGGTTTCCGCACATTGAACATGATATTCATTATCATATTCACTGTTTTAATACTAATGTAATTACCGAACTATTATTTTGATGTTGTGTCGCTTAACACGATAATTTTGAAAAAAATGTAACTTGTTTCCGCTAAGTTGTTCTATACGCTTAGTTTTATTACTGACAGTTTTTACTTTAATGATCTGGCCATCTAGTAGGCATTAATTAAATTAAGTGTTCAAATTAGATTATTTTTCTTTTAACCGATACAGTATTTGTTTGTTATTGACTATATTTGAAACTGTGAAATTTCTACTTTTTAGGTAGAATCATGTTAACTGGGTGCATTAAATATGATATAGTACAGAACACTATTTCATTTAAATTCATTTTTGGAATAATCTCAGTATTATAGGTCGTGGATATTTCTTGAATTTCACTCGTTGACTTTAACACTACATTCGAATTAATATGACGTTGCATTGTACTGAAATAGTTTCAAAATTTCGATTTTATTTCCATTTCCAATAGCTTGGTAATAGTTGGGTTGCATAGTTATTTACTTTGTAACTGAGACGTATACTGATTTTTTTATTACCACAAATATGTTGGGTTTCAAAATATTTAGAGATTGTATCTGAATCCATGGTTTACTGATGTATAAGTCTTAGACAACTAATAATTATTTGGATTTTTCGCTTACATAAATCATTGCTTTCTACGAATGTTTTTTCAAAATACATGAAATAGTTCCCCTATTGTTAGTGAGAAACCGTACTCATTTATTCCTGTCAGCTCTTCACTAGACAAGAACCAGTTGTAAACCAGAAAATGTGAAGCTTTGATCACGGATCAACTTGAGCTAGACAACTTGTAGCGGTAGTTTAATGGTTAAGGGGTTCGAATTTCCTCCACTAAGTTCCAGGTTCGAGCCTAGCTCCATCCGCTTCAGTTTGGGCAACCAGGTAGTATCTTTAGCTTTCACACTTCGATTGTGGCTCATATCCAAGTATCTGGTGAATGAATTAAATTCAAATACTTAAATTTATATAAATTGAACAACTATTAAAGCCGGAGTGTACTCGGAAGCTGTTTCGTTTTAGTACGAAACTCTTAAGCAGTATACTTCAATGAATTTGTTAAAAGTCGTATTCACATATTTCAGGTCATCTGTTTCAAACCATAGAATTATCATTTAATAGTCTGGATTTCCAGCTTGTTATGCCCAGGTTATAGATTTAGTAAGAAAGTAGTTGATAAAAGCTTAAATTCATTGAAAATGATAGATTACTAGAATGAACATGCACAATATTCCTAGAAGTACTTTATACTTCGTGCAGAAGTTTGGCTCCTTGAGTTATTGATCACTATTCGATGCTGTACAAATTTTTTTATAAACTACCTTGATGCTATATTAAACATACTAATAAGTTATTTGGGTTATACATATTGATATGCTTATTGATTCACAGGGTCCTTTGATTTTCACTGAAGTGATTCATTAATTATCCCCTTTTATAGAATTGATCATTTAAATGAAGGAAAACGTTGTGTTATTTGTTGTTCAAATTAATATATTTTTGCATTTCCTTTACCATCTGAATAAATGATTGTTTACTTCTTTTCTAGTGAGATAAAATCTCTACCAGAAAAGTTCCGTACTGGACCTCCATTATTATTGCATTCTCATCGAGTTGTCACTCAAGATGCTGCACATCAATATGATCGTGATTTTATACCAAATGTTTGTCTGAAACCGTTCAATGGGACTGATAGTAAAAACATTGCTAGGTCATCATCAAGTCGGAGACGTCGGCATAGGCGTTCACTACGCAAGCAAAGTGAAGGAGATTCTATTCAGGACTCCAGATCCCGTTCTTGCAGTGAATATAGCTCAGGTTCAAGAAGTAGTCGAACTCGAAGTTCTAGTACTAGCAGTACTTGTAGCAGTCGGTGTAGTTGCAATAAAAATACTGGGAATTCCGATGTTTCAGATTTTCGATGGAATCAAAATAAGCCATCTTGCAATTGTAATCATAATTCTACGTTTCCTAAACACAGAACTTCTGATGGGCTAAAATCATATGATTCTATGTGTGTCAAGAAGAATCCTTCCAATTCATGTTCACCTAGGTTACCTAGGGCACGTTCACTCAGCGGAAGTGTCAACAAATTAAAAAGACTCCGAAGGACATCTTCTTGTCCAGTGTTTTACTCCATCCAACAAACAACCACTCTGAATAACATTGAGTGTTCTGATGATAAGCATAATAGAAGAAAGTTGACGAACCCAACATCAACTTTTAAAGCATATCAAAAGAAATCTGCCCCACCTCAAATGGATAAAAGTGGAATTAAACAACGATGTAAAGCAATGGCTGCCGCACGTGCTGCACAAGGTGCAGCTAGTCGAACTGGCCCAGGGTTATGGGCACGACATTTTAGTAAGCGTGTTATTCTATTTTTACTTGATGCTAGCTGTCCACTCATTGATGATGACTTCTTCAGATCGATTCTAGTGTATGATCTTATACGTTTTCGGACCACAAGCTACCTGTTTTCAGAACTAAATAAAGGTCTATGTGATATACATTTGTTTAATTAAATGTAATTATATGTAGATAATTGAAGAAAGCTAGGGTTTGTATTATTTTTTTACGGTATTGCTTCTGTTAAACTGAACCAGTTGTCCACTAAGTTGGTTTTAAATTCAAGCTAAATTAACTGGGTAAAATGTAGTATTCTATGGATTTCAAAGTTTTGTTCTTGAAACTGAAATTTTCGACTTCATTAATATTATATTGCGAACTATTAACTGCTCTTCATACTACTATCTAACAATTAAACTCGAATATAACACTATCACAATTATTGATCAGTCTTCTGTCTAAAAGACACAAATCATAAACCATTGTTGTCTTACTGGTCCAAAGTTTTATTTTATTTTCAGCATTTGCTGGTAAGTGTTAAATCATCAATTCAAAATATTTAGGTCTGTAGAGCTAAATAGTACAGTTAATTGTTATAGAATAGTTGTAGCTCATAGGCACTTTGATAAACCTATCGAATACTTATATGGATTACTCTAACAGTTATGGATCCGAAAATTGATTTAAACCGTGGAAATAAAGTCACAGCACTCAATAGTGCGTACTTACTTTTTACTGCACAGTAAAGTTGTAGATACCAATCTTTTTCAAAATCACACTTTAAGTAAATGCTAAATCAATACTTGTTTTTTTAAAGAAAAAAAACTATTTTATCTTACTTGAGGATATGAATATTGATTTCATTTAAGCACATGACAATGATTGACAGATAAAATGCTTTAAAAAGACTGCAGTAACTAATTGACAATCAGGTAGAGACAAACTGGTCTATCTCGTCTGTCTACCTGTTTATTTCTCAGCCAGAGAGAAGATATTATGTTTTAAAGGATGTTTGTTAGTAATGATGAGGAATTTCAAATTTAGTGATTCCTTATTCTTCTTGATTAGTTTCCTGTTACTATATTGTGCGCAATGATCGTGAACAGTGGTGGGTAGCGAAAGGAAGAGGGATGGAAAAGGCAGCGTCAATAGGTAACAGCAGACAGCTATTCAGACTTATTAAAGAAACCGGCATTAGGAACCTAACTATTAGCGAAACTATCTCAGACAAAGATGGACATGTCATTCATTCTCAATCCAGGAGATTGGATCGATGGGCAGAACACTTTAGGGATCAGTTCAACTGGCCTTCAGCCACACTTCAGTTACCCACGATCCCCAGTCGCCCTGAATGGCAAATTGAGGTAAGTCCTCCAACTCTCTACGAGGTTGAAAAAGCTATAGGAAATCTGAAGCGAGGGAGAGCAGCAGGCCCTGACAGGTTTACCCCTGAGATTTTTAAGGATGGTGGTCCAGTACACAGCAGCGAGATTGACTGAGGTCTTAGGTAGAATCTGGGAACTGGACGTAATTCCATCTGACTGGTCCCAATCACTGATTGTGCCAGTCTATAAGAAAGGACAAAAGTCCTCCTGTGACAATCACAGAGGAATCAGTTTGACTAATGTAGTGTCTAAAATATTAGCTTCAATAATACTTGGACGTCTAACCAAAGCTCATGAAGAGCAGACTAGAGAAAACCAGGCTGGTTTCCGACCTGGACGTGGTTGCATAGACCAGATATTCACTCTACGTCAGGTCCTAGAACATAGAAATACATTCAGACCTCCCACAATAGTAGTATTTCTTGACCTTAAGGCAGCATTTGACTCCGTTGATCGTGAGGTTCTATGGCAGTGTTTGTCATCATCTCAATCTCCAGTTGAACTTTTACCATGAGGCTCACTTATTGACTTAGAATACGCCGACGACATAGTTTTATTTGGTGGGGACGCTGACAAAATGCAGAGTCTTCTGACCACCATAAGCAACAATGCAGGCATGTTCGGGATGCGATTCTCTCCCTCGAAGTGCAAAATGTTACTTCAGGATTGGGTTGCATCGACACCTGAACTAATGATAGGAAGTGAAGTAGTTGAGCATGTTGACAGCTTCACTTATCTTGGGAGTCTCATCAGCCCTTGTGGTCTCGTGTATGACGAAATCTCAGCACGGATACAGAAGGCTCGTCTAGCTTTCGCCAACTTGCGCCATTTATGGCGTAGGCGAGATATCCGTCTAGCAACAAAAGGACGGGTTTACTGTGCAGCAGTCCGTTCCGTCCTACTTTATGCCAGTGAAACATGGCCGATAAGAGTAGAGGATATTCGAAGGCTACTAGTTTTCGATCATAGGTGTCTTCAAAGGATTGCTCGTATATCCTGGGACCACCGGGTAAGTAATGCAGATGTTAGAAAACGGGTACTAGGTAAGGATGGCAAATCGATTGATGAAGTACTGAAACTTCATCAGTTGAGATGGCTGGGACATGTGTTACGTATGCCCAACCACCGACTGCCCCGACGTGCAATGCTTTATAGTGTAGGAGTAGGTTGGAAGAAAGCTAGGGGCGGCCAGACCAAAACATGGCATAAATCCATGAAGTCACTGACAAGTGGACTGAGTCATGTTGGTAGGTGTAGACTACCTGGTTGGGGTTCGCGAGATGATAGCAACTGATGGTTAGAGACCTTGAATGACATGGCTCAAAATCGTTTGTAATGGCGAAGGTGTATCCACTCTTTGTGTTCTGCCAAATTCTAATCTTCTGAATTATTTGTGTCCTTTTCCTTTTTCTCTTTCCAAATTTATTTCACTGTATTATTCTCCTTCAATAACATCTTCAATCCCTTATCTTTCACATAATACTTATACTCTTACTACTTCTACCAATATGGGATTTGAACCGACAACTTCATCTCTGTGCTAATGTGGTATGGCAACTCGATCTGATGTACGTACGTACGAAGTTCTACGTTGTAACTGACTGACTGACTGACTGTTTCGTTCCTGCAGTAGCACATTTTCTGACTTTCTCATCCACAGTCTCTGGCTACGGCTTTCTATAATCTTAATGACTGTTTTGCACATGTACAGTTCTGCAACGAATTGAAGCATTGATTTGATACACTTAAGGGTTTCTCCTAATTCTCGTCCCAATCAACATCGTTACTGAAGTAGATTCTGACTAGACACGAGTAACATACATCACAACCATCCAATTCACATAAGTTTATCGACTTGGAATCCTTTTGTTCAGGACGCATGTGCTCAATGACTCAATAACATTGTTTATTCATTACCTGTAAGTTCTTCATCTTAATCACGTTGTAAGTCATATACTGAATGGTGTAATATTGCTTTTCTGATTTGGTTCTTGATGGCGAAAGTGAAGTTGTAGGAGTTATAATAAGACTATTGAAACTTAATTACTTTCATGAGATGCCCTTAGAGATTTCTAGTAAATTGACATTTCAATTCATTCAAATTGCTTAATTATATGCAAAGCTGGTTATAAAAGTAACTTGTGAAAAATAACCAGTACATTTCTTACCTAATGACAACCAAATAAGGTTAAGTAATTGCTGATGTGTGTTCGGTAATCTATCACTTCATCGATAATTATCACTCTAGGAAGATGTGTTCAGTAATCCATACTGCACTAGTCACCTTTCCTGGGTGACTATTAAAACCTCTTAGAAAAAGTCTTATACAACACTAAACCAACATTTTTAAATTGGCTATCTCGATAGAAAAGAATTGTAGAATCGCGTTTTTTAAATATACTCTTTGGTATCATATTTTTCAAAAATCTCTAGATTTCCGTTTGTAGGTTAGTGTCATTCTGTATTATAATAAATGAGAATAACTAAATTTTGAAATATTTATAACGTTTCACATTTTAACTGTTATTTATTGTTACAGTTAATGTACAGAATTCTAGTGGAGATTCTATGAAATTACCAAATGCTAGACGATCTGCGCCTCATGCAGTCGATACTCATAATCCTTATTCAAATCCAATGAATAATACCCCAGTATTAGTGACAAATCCAATGAAAAATAGTCTACCCGCCGCAGTTTTAGCTTTAGAAGCGATTTGGGCAGATTTAGTTCGACTTATCAATGAATATACAATTGCAGTTGAATCAAGATCTGGTGTGGATGCAGCACGTCAAAGACTGTTTGAGCAATTCATATCTATGCAAACATGTTATGCTACACATATAGCATCATTGATGGATGAAAATCAAAAACTCCTTGAGGTAATATTTTGATATTGTTTACTGCCGTTTTTTAATCATTATATCTGCGCATTAGTAACAATGCGTGTATTGTGTCTCGTATTGAAAAAGTAAACAATGTAATCCTGTTAGTAATATCCTTGTGAACGAAGACTTGGTGGAAAAGACAAATTTATTGTTAAATACAAAATTATAGTGTGTTCGTAAAATATGAAAATCATACATTAAATACGTCATTTGCACATCTTCCATCAATTGTCTCTTACAAACTTCATCGTTCCTTCATTCCTGCTGTTATTTTGACTGCTTTTAGTTTTCTGCTCTCTTCTCTTCACTTCAATCCTCTCAGTCTCCTGCTCCCAGGCATTCAACTTTCGAGTGGTGCTGCATACTACTTATATTTGTCAACACAAGTAACATACACCACAATGTTAACTTCAGACATCATGATATAGTCTCATCCCTTGTCGAAAATCCTTTTCTTTTCGTCCGCATCAGTGTAACGATTCATATATTGACAAATGGATAGTGTTTGTAGCGTTTTTCTTGGTCACCTAAGTATTATCATCTCATCAACTTCATTGTTGTCTCTTTAGTATTTTATATCTTATTTCAGCACCTGTTTTCTTCAGTGCTTCGGCTATATGCTAACAACACTTCAGAAGCACTTTCGATATTAAAATACTGGGGCTTCACAGTTTAGGTGGATACTTTATTAGTGATGGGTTCTCTGAACTAGATTTGATTGCTAGGCTTTGATTGTCGTTCTAGAGAACATCAGCAGTACGAAGTAGACTTTAATGACAACATAATTTCACCAAAGAACTCCAGGTCAAATGTTTGTGACCTATAGATATTTTCTATTTTTCTACTCCATGTTCCATGTAATTTAACCATCTTTTGATAGGTGAAGAATGATCTCATTTGAGAAATGTTTCTATAGTTACGAAATTGTTTTTAATTTTTCATTAGAATGAAGTGAATATGAAAATGGTTGTAATATGGATCCATGTACTAAGCTGTAGAAAAGTATCTATTATTTGATCTCTTATTTTATGCAACTAGACTCTTTAATAATACGTAAAATTCATAGCTCTCCAAAAGGAAATATTTACCAGTAGATCTGGTGAAGTTGAATATCTGTTTCTTCGAAGAACTGAATTACAGTTCTTTGGAACATAAATTTTTATTGATTAAGACATCTCACATTTTGTTGTTTTATACTGTTTTCAGTTAAGTAAGCATATTATTCAGGGCGAGCATCTTTACCATTAATGTAATACAATTAATATGACATTCAGATAAAATAAGACAATTTACTTGGAATTGGAATGAATACTTCCTTGTAGATTATTAAGTGGATGATTTTATTCCATAAACTGTAACTACGTGTTTGAATCATTTAAATAACTAGTCATTCAAATTTACTGACGCAATGTGTCTTTTTAAATCAATTGATTTTCACTGCATTAAGTAAGTCCTTCAATAAGTGTTGGGATGTTAGATCCCCAGAACTCACTTGGTTTTGTAATTTTATTTTGAAAATTTGAATTTCTTTGTTTTCGCTCCAAAAGTGCTCTTTTCACCTCTATGTCGTATTTCCCACTTGGGAAAATCTTAAACGCTATTAGTCCATTGTGGCTTTTAGTATGCTATTTTGTAACGCTTCCCAAGGACAGTTTTATATTGTATATATACGTTTAATTTGTGCCTGTTGGGTCGCTTGTGCTTCTGACTGCTTGCGGAATATTTTTATTTCCCGTTCGGACATCGACTTCTTTCTCTAGTTAGCGGGGCTGGGACGCATCAGAATAGCTAGCGTATTGGTCTTTGGTCACAAGTGTTTGTTCCGTTCGCAGACTAGCTGAACTTTTAATTGTTTCAATCATAGCAATAAGTTCACCAACAGAAAAAGTACATGAATTATTCATTTGAGTTGTTACGACGTCATAGCTTTTATAATTATATAGGATAACCGAATCAGTGTTTTGTCGACATCATAGCGTCAGTGTTGAAGATAGATTCACTGTTGTTTTTTGTTCTGTTCCTCTCTTTGTGCAAATCATAAGTGTTTAGTGGTAGAATACTTCGGAAGCCTGATACTAATATTTGGTTTCATGTAGGGTTAGGGTACTGAAAGAATTCATCCTAGTAAAAGGTATCAGGTTAAAATATTAGTATAAACTCATTTTCCTACAAGGTTATGCTGAAACTTCGCTGGTTTAAAATGATCTAAAATCACATAAATGAAGAACTACACCACAGTGTCATTTAAAGTGATCTACATATACTGTTACTGTGGTCACAAAGTATGTTGTATTGTTAGACTCGTATGATCATCATGCGAAAGCATACTCTTACTGCGTAAAATTCACATTCAATGCTTTATCATGCGAAAAACTTCTAACCTGTAAGAGTTATAATTTTCCAAGAAAATGTAGATCTGTTTATATTTTGATCTAAATAAATTTGTTTTTTGGCATTTATAATAGGTGACTTCCTTTAAAAAGAATTATTAAAAACACTAGTTTAATTTATTATTATAAACGATTTGTGTATCTGAAATCCAGTTCATTAAGACCTGACTAGAAGAAAATTTTCTCTGACCATTATTCAATCTAGACAAACTTAAAGTAATCAGTCTATCTTGTTGTATGTGTTTGAAATCTCTAACACATGTGATAATTGCACACATAGACACGAAAAGTGATGCATTTGTAAACATGTATTCTTATTTCTTTTTTTGTTGACATTATAAGCGAGTTAAGTTGTTATTTCGTTGCAAATTGCTTGTCTTTGTTACTCTGTACCTAATTGATATCTTATCCATGAAGAAGGACACTACCCAAGGGTTTTTCTAATTGTTATATATTCACATTCATTTAGTAATTATATGTTTATTGGTTCATGCTGTATGGATGTAGCTTAGTTAGTTGTTTTATATAATGGGCGGTTGTGCTTTAGGTGGCAATTTTTTCCCTATTTACAGCTGCTGTTTGTGGCTGTCTTTTATTCTAGATTTTAGAGATTGATATCTGCAATAACAATAATAAAAACTGTGACATCCTGGTTTTCCTTCCTGTCTTATGTTTTTGTCTTTTCTGTCCATCAGTTAGAACTGCATCCATTTCATACATTCTCATTTTATATCTAGGTTTTTTCTGAATGATATACATTTATTATAGATTCACACTTACTGGTGAATATATATTCAAGCCAACCATATTTTTGTTCGAAACTACATTTTAACAATAACAACGGTGTATATTTTTCTTATTTCTTTCACAGCTTTGTATGGTTTTCTTTCTTTTAGATTAGTACTGTTCATGTTAAAATACATTGAACGATCGGTTCTAGTGACTTGTATGCTAGAAAATCGATTAGTAACTATGGGCTTGATAACTCATATCTTATCAGTACTCAAGTTTCCCGTTGTCAGTCGTCATTTTAGACATGGTAACCAAGGCTATTTCAAGCTTGGTTTAGCTGAGATATTTGGTGGCCAGTTAATATAATGAGGAAGAAATTATTTCGTATTTCATTTCCATAATGAAGAAACTGGTTATTCTAGAACTGAAGTGAAATAGTTTTATCAGTACAGAGATTACTAGTTTTCATATTATATAGTTTAACCGAACAAGATAGCAGAACAAATGTAAGATGTAGATTGATCTAATAAGGGTTTAAAATTCTGAATATCCAACAATTTAATTATTTTTAGTTTTACATCACAGACTCACCTTAGTTTCACAACTAATGGGAACCAAAAAGCACTTGAAAGCTGTTTTCTACTTGTATAAAACTTAGTAGTCAGTTATCATTATCGCAAGACCATTATGCATTCATTGATTGGTATTTATATCATGGTCAACATTGTTGGACTTCACTGATTGTATTACAATTTAACATGATAGAAAAAAATATGAATAATAGATTATAAACTAAAATGAGAAAAAAAGATCGGAATCGTGAAAAATTTTCCTTTATTGTTTACAATTGGTGATTTATTCTTCTTTTTATTTAGTATTTCCGATTTTTCAAAAAAGTAAACTTTTCAAGTGTTGTTTTAGTCAGTAATATCAGTTGCGTTTGAATAATTGTACTAAATGATCTAATGGACCAGTTCTTTTTAAATTTAATGTATTTAAACATCATATGATTCAGAAGTTGATATATTAAAGGGGGAAAATAATGTATTACAAAGTATTTCATGTGAGCGGATTACAATCATAAAACATAAATAACCGTTTGTTTTTCTTCCTCTTCAGTATTTTATTACTTAACTTTCAAAATACATTAGATAGCACTCAACTGAATATTTTTGTCCAGATAAACTTTAAATAACTTGGTATATTATCGTGTACATATTATGACTTAAGTCCTATTTGCATAACTTGATTAAAACAGTTTAATATTAAATGATACACACAGATTTTTACAATAAAAGATTGATTAACATTTGAAGTTAAATATCATTGTTTTCTTGTTTCTCACTTTGTTGTGTTATACTTTGTTACTTGTCAATGATTTGTTATTATAAAATGTCTCTTTTGATATTAGATTAGATAATACTTTCTAGGGTAATGTTTTAAATAATTTCATAGTTGAAATCATGAGTCAATTGAAGCTAGACCACCATGGAGAACCTGAAAGCACTGGGCGGCCGTTTCGTCCTATTATGGGACTACTCAGCAGTGCGCATCGACGATTCTGCCCCGCGGGATTCGAACTCAGGACCTACCAGTGAGATAGAAACTCACTGAAGACAATGGTGGATAGTGGCTCAATTTCGTGGATTGGTTGATCGCCTCGCGAGATTCGAACCCAGGACCTACTAGTCTCGCGCCAGAGCACTTAACCAATAGATCACTGAGCCGGCATCCAACGGTGTTAATGTCTAACTTCAACCAATCCACGAAATCTGAGCAACCGTTAACCAATTATCTTCAGTGAGTTGATATCTCTACAACAGACGTGGTTTGAACTCCACTGGTCACTGCTACCCACTAGGACTCTAGGAAATATCTCTAGGACGAAACGGCCGTCCAGTACTTCCAGGTTTTCCATGGTGGTCTAGCTTCAATCGACTCATGATTTCAACTATGAAAATACTGAAATTTCCACAAAACCCCTTCTGGTTTTAAATAATTTACAAGTTAATATTACTTGTCAATATGAAATCTTCTATACGATTTCCAAACCAATCTGTACATGGAACTTATTCTTAATTCAGTTAAATCACACATTTACAATTGTTAATTACAGTACAAATAGTCTTGTTGTATAAATTCACATTAAAAGAATTTATTAAGTTGTATTTTAATCTTGTTAAACTCTTTAAAGGAGATGTTATTATCTTATAAATTTGTTAAATATTTTATAAAAAGTAAAAAAAAATTCAAACTCTTTGTCAAATGGTATCTAAGTTGATCAAAATCATGTGTATGATTGTATTATGTTCTCTATCAAATTGTTCAAATCCTATTACACATTTTTTAATGTTTCCTTCCCCGAAATTTGTTGTTTTCTTAGGTTAGTATCAATATTCTCTTTGATCAGTGTTTATTCTCTATGCTTTCAATAGTTCAAGCTTTCTAAACTGATTAATTATTATGTCGTTATTATTTATTTATTTATTTAAACACATAAATATTGGTACAAGGAAGCACCAGATACATATGCGCCGCACAAATCTCATTTGATTTGTGTGAGGGCTGTAATACTGCCCAGGTGTCCAAACTGAAGCAGGTGGTTTTCTTAAGGGGCCATCACAGGAGTCTTTGACCTAAAGATTTGATCCACAAGGCAGTAGAGCATCGTAAGGAGATGCAGTCCCATGTTAACCGGTGACCAACGATAGATTCATACGCCATTTGTTTCCTGAGGATACTGGAGCCCATGTGAACCATTGGTTTGGAATCAGGGTTTCCCAACTCCCCTAGGTGGACTTTGTCATTTTAGTGTATAATTATTTTGTTTTATGTTTCTTTTATATTGCAGAAGCTCACGCAAACTCAAGCTCAACTACTGCATTGTCAGCCTCAATTACAAGGCTTTGTTACAAATAATAATAATACGTCAATACCAATTATGTCGAATAATGTGCCAATTGCATCATCTCAACCACCACTTCTATCGACAATAACAACCTCATCCACATCAACAATCTCTACTGGAAATCAGAACCAATTTCACCCTTTTGATACAGAATTAGATAATAGGTCTGGGTTCAATAACAGATCAGATGATATATTGATTCACTCTGCTATTCAAAATAATAATAATGCCAATAATTATGACGGTAACAACAATAACTTGTCTCGTTTATCACGAAATGATTTTTCATCGTTGATTATTGATCCAACACGAATTATCTCTGTGAGTTTCAATTTTATTTCTTATTCAATGTTTGGGTGGATATGTATTTCCTTAGCAGTTTCTGCTGACAAATGATTGACAGGCTTGTTTGAAGTTGACTGGACAACTACATATTACTCGGTGTGTACTTGAATGCATCGGAAATCATAATATACCGATCCACTGAAATCTAAGACAATTTAGTGATAATGTCCTCATCACAAAGGCAGAGCACTTTTATTTTGATCACCTTAGAGGGCGGTTTAGACGGGTAACTTGAAGTCCGAAATTATGCGGAAAGTTTTTCAGTACTTTCTACTGTCGACAAATTCTTCAACCAGCTTTTACTAAGTCAAGTAAAATATTGGATCATATGAAACACAGAAATTTGGTAAGAAACTCACTATCGGACTACATATACATACATGAACGTGTTTCATACTGTTCAGTTTGACATTTATATAGACCTAGAAATTTACCATTCTTATTTTGACTAGAAGTTTGTATATCCGTGTTCATTGTAGGCATTTTTATGCCTGTTGTGTTGTGTGCATGCGTGTTTATTATTGGTGTAAAGATATACACACTTAAAAGATTAAATAGTAAATACTCTGTAAACACCAAAATGTACAAACATGAGTTAATTTTTTTATGCCATGAATGCTTTATTTGTGTCCATAATTTGTCACAGTTGTTCATACTCACTGATAGATAGATAATCAGATAATCTTTTACCAAATTTACCTGTCTTAATTGATGATTAAAATGTGAGCTCAGTTAGTGCTGTATTTATACTAATGACTTCGACAAAGCTGAACTATACTACCAAGCTAAAGTCGAACATGCGAATCACTAAAAAGTTACGGTGCATATGTCAAACAACAAGTCGCTAAATAATAATGAAATAAGTGGTCTCACCATGAGGTTGCTGCTCGTTCACTGTATTATGAATAGGTTCACTCTGAAAATATTTTAATTTGTTTAAAAAACAACTTATTTTTAGGACTATGAGTTAGATATAAAGATCAGATTTAAGTGTTAAGGATTCAGGCTTATGGTTCGAGTTAAGATTAGGATTTAAAATTTGGGAACTTGGCGTCACCGTTAAGATTTACGTTTTGATTTAGGTTCAGGGTTGGAATTATGCTTTACGGTTAGATATTACATGTAAAGTTATATTTAGTCATTCCCTAAACCTTAAACTCCATTTTAACCTTAAAGCGTAAATTGTAGTCCTGATGACCCAATACTTTTTAAATAGGTTAGAATGTTCCTAATTTTCACGTCCTGATTCTAATTCATGTATTCTGTATCCCTAATCTTATGTGTGATCCCAACAAAATGAGTCTTTTTCTTTTATTTCTGCCATCTGCTAAATTACTAAAACCAGGTTAAGACCCAAGGTCATTCAACAGTATAATTCAGCTTCACCATGATTTGCAGATTCTCTTCTTAGGTTCGTACTAGCTTAGCTGCACAACTTAATGTAGTATCCTGAGATACCTGACCCAATTTCTTTGTGACCAAGTTTTCTTTGATCTTTTTCCACTCCTATGTCACTTCATTTCTTAACATGAGATTATTATGGAGTGATTATGAAAAGTTGGTCATACTTTGCATTACACTGTCGTACCATAAAATTGTGAATTGAATCAATAACATCAAGCCATAAAATTCATTTTGAAATAACTTTTTGTAAATTAACCTAGAATAATTAAAGTTGACAATACTGTCGGAAAATGTTTTTAGTGTTTCATGGCTTTGTTTAATCTTTTCACGTGTATCACAACTTCATAAACCTTACATTTTTAGTTTCGTAATATAAATTTTGCAGAAAGTTAGGCTAAACAGATTTGGTAGGACGTAATTTTAACTGCTGGGATATTTATCACCGGATATGTGAGCTAAAGGTCACTTGTTGAAGATCACGTGAAACTGTCTTTAGTTATTTGTTACTAAAGTGGTTAACTAAAATAGTCCAATATAGAGGTCATGTGGTTTATTTAAAAACATTTATTTGCATCAATTATAAGTCGTGTGACTGAATATTACTGTGAGATTTTGTTATCACTGTTATAAACTTAAAGAGAGGATGCTGGTTATAACAGTAGGGGTTCTTGTTATAACAGTCCTTTTACTTCTTACACGTATGTGGGACGTTAATTTATCTTAGACGAATATCTGCACTAGATTCCCACCCGGTGTCTATTCTACAGGACTTCAACAGAACTCAGATCAAGAACACGAGATTAGCCTGACTATAACGTCAATATATTTCCATACCGAAATCCGACACAAAGAACAGTCAATCAACAAGTGTCCATCAACAAGGAACAGTCCATACATAATAAGGATAGGAGAATATATATATAACACATAACACCTGTCATCCTATCTAATGTCTGACTCATCGAGACAACCAATCATTGTCATTCTCACCCACACATCACCTCCCTCGCGAAGTTTGATCGTATGATTTCACTTTAGGGTCTATTTGAAAAAAATTCGTTTGTTTCCGTTTCCTGAATGACCTTCGTCTAACTTCTGATTTTAGATCATTTTTTCTCATTTCTACTTGTGGTGGTGGTGGAATATCAAATGTATCACATAATACTTCCATTGGTAATGGTTTGAGTTTAGATGACTCACAAACACATTTTCTATCTCGCAGTTGATTTACATGTCTAATAATTAGTGCATTTTCGACCATCACTTCATATAATACTGTACCACGTCGTTTTTTTATAAACCCAAATATCCATTTTGGCTTGCCAGGCCGGAAATCCCGTGCATAGACTGAGTCACCTACTTTGAATTCTCGAATTTTCGGGCAATTCCCTTTCTTATTTTTTTGTGGTCCACTGATTCTGTCTTTCGGGTTCAAAACATCAAAAAATGTTCTAATCGGTCAGCCAAACATTATTTCGGCTGGAGATTTCCCATCTTGACAGCTTGGACTTGGCGTAATTCTATAAGAAATGAGAAATTGTTGCAGAGCCTCTTCTACATTGCCTTCTCTCATCTTTAAGAGAGTTCGTTTAAGAATATCAACAAGTTTCTCTGCCTGCCCGTTCGACTTAGGGTGATACGGTGGAGTTCTAACGTGTTCGATTCCATTCTGTTTACAGAACTCCGCAAGCTCTAACGACGTGAACTGCGTCCCGTTATCTGAAACCAAAACATTAAGTGTACCAAACCTACCAAATAGTTGTCTCAGATGTAGCAGTGTTTCAGACGTTGATGGTCTTCGTACCACGTAAATTTCGGGCCACTTCGAGTACGAATCTACCACCACCAAAAAATATTGCCCACTTATAGGTCCAGCATAATCAACATGTAATCGGACCCAAGGCTTTTTCGTTTCCGGCCATGACTGGGATTCTGCTTTCGGCACATTCAACGGTAAATCCCACAAACCAAATTTATCAATCCAATCAATACCTAATAGATTGGTATTATAGTTCCCGGATACGTAACATTTCCCGGTCATAGTCTTTTCACCAAACGTGAGAGGTAGCTGTATTACTCCAAGAAGAGTAATATTAGTTCCTGATGCACTCTTGGCATTATAACATGTAGGTTGATATCAGGGTCGACCAATTTTAATCCAAGTTTCTTTAGAAATTAATGTTATGTCAGACCCAGTATCGACTTGTAGTTTGACCGGTTTGCCATCGAAAAAAATGGTTACATACTTCCTTTTGGATAAGAATTGGTCACTTTTTGTGGCCAGAACATTTGAGTTATGCGGTATTGATTTTGAAGTGTGCATCTTATTTCGTTTACGGAACTTATGCTCACGGTCAGAAACCTTCGGCTTACTTTTACAACATACTTGAGCATGACCATATTTACCACATTGAAAGCATACTCGTTTTTTAAAGTAAAAAAACTTTGGCAGAATGAGACTTACCACATCGCCAGCATGACGTTTTGTGTTTCACTTGATTTGGGATTTTCTGGGAGTTCGAATCTTTATTTCCATCAAAAGATTTACGTAAAGCTTTGACTCCAAAGTGTTCACTGTTCCTTTCTACGAGTTTCGTGTCATGCTTCAAATTAACTATTCTTTGACACTCTTCAGATACTGATTGTAGACTGATATTAGGATCTTGTTCGATTCTCATTAGAATCCGTGTTCTAATATCTGCATCTACTGGAGATTTTAATCCACATACAAAATAAGGCACTTGAACTGATCTGATGACATTTCCTGTAATCGGAACCGCTCACATTCCCGGTTCACGATACTTGCATACGTTACGTAATCGTCCTGTACTTTCTTTACAAGTTGAAGACACTGGTATCTAGTGTGAAAAATTGATGACCGTTCTCCATATAAACGTGTCAGGCATTCAACTGTTTCTTTGAACGTTATGTCGGTTGGCTTTTTTGGGGGGATAAAATTACAGAATTTTTCATGTTCGAACACTCCGAGCTTTCGTAATAATAATCTCAATTTCGAACTTTCGTCCCACTCTTTACATTCATTAATAAATAAATCCTCATGGCGTTTAAACCATGCCTCAAAAGTAACTCCACTTTCTGGATCAAATCTAAATTCAGTTATTGAATTTGCAATAGGATCCGGAGTCATAGTGGAATTAGACACATCAGTTCTTGAGGATATCGACATATTTTTGACTAATAATTCGATAAGAGTATTTTGCTGTTGCAATAAGGTTTTCAGATCATTTATTTTCTTGATACAAAACTCACTTTAACTGAATACGTAAGCGTAGATCCGTTTTAATCACCGTCGCCAATTGTTATAAACTTAAAAGAGAGGATGCTGGTTATAACAGTAGGGGTTCTTGTTATAACAGTCCTTTTACTTCTTACACGTATGTGGGACGTTAATTTATCTTAGACGAATATCTGCACTAGATTCCCACCCGGTGTCTATTCTACAGGACTTCAACAGAACTCAGATCAAGAACACGAGATTAGCCTGACTATAACGTCAATATATTTCCATACCGAAATCCGACACAAAGAACAGTCAATCAACAAGTGTCCATCAACAAGGAACAGTCCATACATAATAAGGATAGGAGAATATATATATAACACATAACACCTGTCATCCTATCTAATGTCTGACTCATCGAGACAACCAATCATTGTCATTCTCGCCCACACATCAATCACCGAAATGGGTGTGTCTACAATAGTTCTAGTAATTTAGTATCTCAACCAGGTCTCTCGGTAAATTTATGTTTCTTACAGGAGTATATATCGTAACAGTTAACAGTATTGAACATATATAGAAATTGTATTCTTGATTATAATTTAAGTAAAAATTAACTGGATTTTGTGAATAACTTCGCTTCACTCTTATCGTCTTTCGTTTATGAAGATGGTGTTTGCCTGTTTCAATACAGTTATTTAAGACAGTTTCAAGGTTAAAAAAATTCATAATTCAGGTTGAGCAGAATTTATTGAGATATGGTACAATGTGGCTTTACTGGGATGACTGGTGGAATGATATATTAGATTAATGCAATTCTAAAAGAAGTTCACAGATTTCTTCCCACTAATTTACTAAAGAAAAACAGTGAAATTAGCATAAGTATTTTGTTTACTCTGTTTACTTCATCATATAAAATAAACAGATTCATACGAATTTATTTCCCCTATTCATTGTAAAATGGAACTGATTAGGTATCAGATGAAATCATTATCAACCAAATAGACTAAGTATATATTGAACAATTGAAATGATCATTTGTCTATAGAGATATTCAATTCATATATTATACCAGATAGATGAATAATAAAGAGTAAAAATCGATTTCATTAAGCCACTAAATAACTTTTTTTCCTTATCATTTTATTTCTTTTGTAAAGTTACACTAAATATAGTTGACGAGTTAAAATTGAGAAAGTTTAGCGTCCTTTAAGAGCACTGCAGTTCTTATATTCTTGTATATATTTCATTCTCTTGAGATGATTTATCACCATATAAATCAAGTACAGAATGATTCCCTATCAATTATTTGTTCGTTATCAGGGAGATTGTAATTATGATTCATAATTTCTTCATCCCCTCCACCCATGTCATGTCCTGATAGTAATGAAAACAGTTAATTTGTTTTTGATAGTCACTAACTGACTGTTAGTTTTAATAATCAAGTTCTTTATACATATCAACATGGGGTTGTGGAGATTGTTGAGTTTCAATTGAGATCATGAATCGATCAATGATGGATTACCATAGAAAACCTGGAAGCACTGGACGACCGTTTCGTCCTAGCACAGGACTTCTCAGCAGTGCTCATCCACGATTCCTCACGCTGGACTCGGACCCAGGAACTTCGGTATCGCGCAAACACTTTACTTCTAGACAACGGAGCCAGGATCAAACAGTTTTAAAGTCTAATTTCAACCAACCGACGATATTGCGCGACCATCTTCATACATATATTAGAATAGGTTGATTCTATATCTCAATTACTGTTACTAATGCAACTAGGCTTAAGTCCAATTATCAGAAGGGGTTTTGTGGAGATTTAGTATTTATCATAGTTGAAGGCGTGAGTTAATTTAAGCTAAACCACCATGGGAAACCTGGAAACACTAGACGGCCGTTTCGTTCTATTACGGGACTCCTCAGCGGTTCACATCCACCAGCCCGCTCTCACGAGATTCGAACCCAGGACCTACCAGTCTCGAGCCGAAGCCCTTAACCGATAGACCACTGAGCTGGCATCCAACGGTGTTAATGTCTAACTTCAACTGATCCACGAAGTTGAGCAACCATTCACCAATTGTCTTCAGTGAGTTCCTATCTCACAACAGACGTGGTTTTGGACTCCGTCCAGTGTTTCCAGGTTTTCCATGGTGGTCTAGCTTCAATAGACTCACTCTTTCAACTATGATAAATACTAAATCTCCACAAAACCCCTTCTGATAATTAATATAATCATGTGCTCACTAGTGACTTCGAGAAGTATATCTAGGAGCTCTAGTGAGAAGCAGTGACCAGTGGAGTTCAAAACCACGTCTGTTGTGAGATAGGAACTCACTGATGACAATTGGTGAATGGTTGCTCAACTTCGTGGATCAGTTTAAGTCCAATTATCTACCTTAATCACTTTTTTGATTTTCGATTCTTCAAATGATAATTATTACATGAAGAGATTCGGAATCACTAATATCAAATTCATAATATCATCGGTCATTGATTCTTTATGAAATTGAGTTTATGACTTAATACTCTGACAGTAATACGAGAATGAGACAGGATTCAACTAACACAGCTTTATTTGTTTATGTATTAGCAAATCATCATTCATACTTATTGAACTGTTTTTGTTTTCACTGCAGAGATAATATTTGTTGAACACTGAGCGAATCATACATTAGTCAATTACTTATTATATAAGTTAATTAAATGGCTCAGATGGTACGAATATAACCTATCACTCTACTTAGTAAAGTTACCGAATTAGACAATACTAACATTATAAACTTATGTATATTAGGCTCGTGCTTCAATTCAAATGAGAAAAATAGTGAATGGAAATGGAGTTATACCTCGTTGTTTTTTTCTTTATAAAAATAAACACCGATTTTTATTCAGGTTACTTATTATACTTAAGAGAAAAAATTCGGTTGATAATTACTTTTTCAAGGTTTATCGCTGTTCGATGAATAACAATTATCTTACTGATTTGTTCGGAATAAAATAGATTAAATAAAGTTGAAGGCAGTTTTATGTTCCAATATTTTCAATATTTCTCATAATATTACTTCAACTAAAATGACAATTGAATTTTCAGTTAATAGTCCGGAATAATTCAATCTGTACTCGATAAATGACGTACTCAAGTCACTACAATTTGACCAATCAGCTTATACATTGTTATCTTATTCAACAAGTACTGTGTATAACTTTTATCATATTAATATGAATGTATTAATTGCTCTGCGTTATATTTATATACAGCTTCTACCTAACATACATCTATGAATAGCTTTCATTATTTGTTTTTTTTTCGCTCTCTTCAGTCACTTAATAAACTCAAATCAATGAATTCTGGCGATGAGTCACATTTGAGGATTGCTTCTGCCATGAATACAACTGCTTCTATTACTTCTAATACACATCAGAAACATCAATTCACTTCTAATAATTCTATGATTGACCCAGTCAATTCATCATCTAGATACTCAACTACCGCATCATCTATGCTATCTTCAAATTTAAAGCGTAAAATTGATTCGTCAAATAATTTGGATTTTGATACTCATCGTTCAATGTCATCATCTTCACTGCCTGGTGTTCAGGATCGTTTAGATTCTAACGTTTGTCCTGAAACTCTGCAATCATCCAGTAATCCAAGTCCTCTAGAAGGTGGACGTAGTCATAGTTCATCTACCCCGACAGCTTCCGAAACAGATAGTTTCACAAGGGATCCCGTTGATGATCCAAGTGAAGAGATAAATCACTTAGAATTTCAAAATCCAAATCCTCGTATAAACATTGAAGGTGATACAAATGAGTCAAGTATATGGAAAAAAGCTTTGCCAACGTTAGATAAATCTCCAATCTTATGGGATCAACATCAGAACCCTGTCAGAAATCTTAGCGATTTAACTGCTAATTGTATGGGTAAACATCGTGACACATCACTACTAGATACAACACCACCTAATCAGACTATTTATTCACATCAACCAAAAAAGCGGCGTACATTGAATAGTCATATATCTGCCGCTGCAAACAGCAACATTAATAATGGTAATAGTAATAATAAATGTAACAAATAAACTGCTCACGCACACTTTTTTCCTCTATCATTAAGACAACTTTGTATCTTCCTCATTTACACACGCACATGCACTATTATGTGGCTGAATTTTTGTTATAACACATGTGCATAGAATTTCACAAAAGATGACCACTTATCATGACAATAACAAAACACTTTCGACTGAGATATTTCCCGCCTCCCCTTCTAACTGATCACACGCACACAGATGCACTCAAATTTATGCGTGTTTTACTGGAATTATTTCCTATTTTCTTTTTCATATCTATTCATCTTTGAGAAACAAAACTGCCATATTATTATGTACTAAAAAAGCTACTCTCTATCCATTCACTGTCTGCGTCTGTGTGTGTAAGAGAGAAATATGAATGGGATGCAAAATTCTTAGAAAAGATTATCTTCATTTTTATTGCTTGTTTCCTCCTTTTACACTGTGATCCTACTTTTGTGATTATTTAAATAGTGAAATAAAAGAGCGAGGAATAAGTTCTGACCTGATCTAGCATTTTTTTTTTCAATAAAAGACAAATGTAAAGAATAATGAAGTAGAAAATGGTTGTACACATAATTCCTCAACATTTTAATAATGTAAATTTGTGTGCAAAAATGTAAGCTGATCGCCTCTCAAATTCTTCAGTGGCATATTACTAACTGGTATCCTTAACACAGCAACCACTGCTACCAAGAATTAAGAACTTGTTTTCTGTTTGAATATTTTATTCGCTTATATTGTGCGTGCGTGCGTATGTGTATAGATGATTTATTTTCTCTTCTTAATATTTACCTTTATGTTTTCCCCCTTTCTCTTCATTTCTTGTCCTTTATTATCTCAGATCCTCATTCTGAACTATTGCAATTGGTTTATCTTCTGCACACACACAGACATGCTCCTTGATTGAAACTCACATAAGGCGGTTGTTAACTCTCCTAGTTATCATTTCTATTGTATTGCCATTATTTTCTCAAGGAAATGTTTTTTTTGTTCTAAAAACACAAGCTCAGATGGATTATATTGTTATATTAATATTAATATTATTATTATAGTGCATTTCGTTGAAGTCAAGTTTTTTTTAATCCTCTTAGTGTTTATACCCTTCTACTTTGCGCCACTTCATTACGTCAATTTAATTTTAAATTTCTATAGTTTTCTTCGAATTCCCTCATCATCAAATATTCCTGTTTTTTAATACTTATTTTAATAGTTATTCAATAAGTAGGTAATTTAATATTATTTCATACTGTTATCATTAATATAAATGAACTGTACATCGTAATAGTCACTTATATTTGTGTATATATATACATCTATGTGTGCGTTATTTCTATTTGTTAGATTATTATTCAATGACCTTTTTGGGATAACATTATGAAAATCATCTTTTTAGCATGTGTTTTCTTTTAGTCCCACTCCATATCCCTATTTCCAAGTAAACATAACTAGAGTTACCACCACTACAACTACTACTACTACTACGAATACCACTATTGAAACTACTCAGAATTTCACAACACATAAATCTTTATTGCCACATCAGTTTTATTCTATAGTGGTTCAAATGTAAGTACTTGTTATTATCATCTCTCTCTCTGTATTCATTCCTACGGTTTGTCTTACAGATTCTTCAGAATTCTACCGTCAACTTATTCTGTTCTTCTCTGGTCCACACACTTCTAGATTCTACTATCAAATATGACAGATATAATATGCCAATATATTTATGTAACCATATTTGTTTCGTTTTAGAGGGCTCGGATTTCTTATTGTCTACCCGTTTTATTGATTAAAGATTATGTGCGCGCCTACAAACAGCTGTTATTTATTATTATCATCATTATCATTAATACCAGTGTAGACGTTATTTCTAAATATTATTACTTATTAATTCAGACTTTGAGTTTGTTCATTCTTTTATTCACTGAGTAATATCAGAGGATTGGTTGTTTTGTTTTTCCTTTTTGGTGGTTTAATGTTTGTATCCTGTTTCTTATTTTCATTCTTTTCATCCATTGAACCAACACTCGACACTGCTGTCCACTGTCAATTATTATCAATTATAAACATTTTTCAAATTGACCAAGAGGTGTACATGTATAAATATACATCATGTCCACTATTATCCAATTTTCTCTTTTGTTACTTCATTGAGCAAACATGAGTTCTCGTTTTTTGTTTGTTGTTCTGTTCCATTCAGTCTTGTCTCCTGATTGGTTCACAACTGCTTTGCCTCTTTTCCTAATAGTAGTAATATTAATAATAGTAGAGGTTGAAACCCTCACTACTCCTGTACTCCCACCATTGTGATTATTATTGTTGCCACCCATGTGTTTGTTAGCTATCAATAAATTTCATTCTCATTATTGTTATCATAGTTATTTCCTTGTTGTCATTTTGATATGAAATAAAAAAAGTCCATTGGTGAATGGCATATCCTGTTTAGATTTTATTCAATGAACGTTTTAAATTAACTTGTCCTGTAACTATCACATACACAACCAACTTATATACAATTTTCTGTCTGTCCCCATTTTTAAAAATAGAATTCCTCCTTGGTTTATTTGTTTGATTCATTCGGTTGGTCAATGAATCAATTGATTTATTGGTTTGTATACTAAATATTAATTATGGTGATCTATCTATACAAACATCAGTTTGTAAAATTCTTATTGCGTGTTACTTGTTTTATTTGTTTGTTTTTCTGGGGGGGGTCCACTCCGTTTTTTTTGTTCTTTTGAGATTTGATTTAGTAAATTTACCTAATATTCTCGTTCTGTAAATGACTTTTTCAATTATATTCAGAGGTTAGATTAAGAAATGTTGCTGACTATTAATTAGTGATATTAGGTGTAAAGTCAAGAACCAACATGGTATTCCACAGTCATTCCATACTGTAAGCATATCACTTATAAGGTTATTTCGACGTTCGGTTTAGATGTTATCTAGCGTTCGAAAATCCAGTTTAAATATAGATTACCGTATTAATATTTTCTTCTTTTGCACAGTTACACCAAAAAATTACCTTATAACCTTTTAATATTTTTTAATACCCAGAGAAACGCGTAAGCAAAATTTTCTGCTGAGTAATTTATATGCACAAAGAACTCATCTATATACTACAGACAAGTATGCCTATCATCTACAAAATTGAATTTTACTTCAATTATCTTGACAGAAAAGTGAGTTGGGAGTCCTGAATTCTAACAAAAGATTTGTGTTAAAACTTCTTGGTTTGGGACGAAGACTTCCTAAATTGTACCCGTAAAACATCTAAATAAGTTTCAATTTTTATTTCCCTCTAAAAATCAATCAACTTGGAGTTTACAAGTAACACCTTGAATTCATGGTAATCTGTCAAAACAGCATTTTCGTCGTAGGTTAGAACTCTACCTCCTCTTTAATTGCTTTGTAACGTTCATTCTCATTCTTAATTATCCAAAAATATATTGACCGACAGATAACTCGTAGCCACATTAATTTGGTTGAAATACTTATTACGTAAACATTACCTTTAATTCTCTAATACTGACATAATTAATCAACCAGCTAGTGGCTCTTTGTCTTATAATCTGTCCTGTTAAGATTAGAGTATCATTAGTACTAGATTTCATCCAATCGATTAAGTAATAATCATACAATGATAGGAGAGTGGAGAAGCACTGACTGTTTACTAGTATTTTGTACATCATTGATTGTTTGCAGTTTGATAAACGTCTCTCTTACTGTTGGAAAATGTGTATATCATAACACGATACAAATCTGAAGATAAGACCGAAGTAAACAAATATCGTTCATATAAAACAAGCCATCACATTAAATGATGCTACTGTTGTTCTATGCTTTTTATTTCCGATTTATCTTTTCTAGTTGTGGATGGTTGTAATTACTGCAATATGGCACTGGAAATAAACTTAAGTACACTTTTCATTCATCGAAATAACGTCCACTTATAAAGAATTCATGTTTCACAACTGATGCTCCATATGCTATAATTCATATGGGAAATGCTTTACGTAAACAATTTTCGAACTGTAGCACTTTAAACAATGTGAAATCGTATATCAGTCCTTTACATTTTACGTTGCTATATTTATCAAACTGGTGGTGTCTGTAAACCAGAATTAATTTCGGTAATTATTCCCAGAATATATAATATATATATTTGACCATAAATTGTGTATTCTGACAGGTGACTAATTTAGATTTTTTTCAATCAGGTACTCGTTATCAGTGTTTACCAATGTCCTCACTTTGAATTGTGACTATAACCATAAGAAAAACTTCACAATGAGCTTTTTGAAACTTATGATCGATTGCAGTAAAAAGTTAAGAAATCTCATTTCTTATTTAAGTAAATTTTGAGTTTAATGGCGTGTATGAGCGTTTACCAGTAATATTGATTTGTAGGTGTTTCGCTTCGTTAATCAATCACTTTGATAGCCGTTATCATATAAACTCCAACGGTGTTTGAGTTCAGAAAGTAATAAGAAGTGGCGATTACAGTTTATTAGCGGATAGCACAGATAAAAAGGTTACAAGAACTCGAGCTAATTGGAGCAGAGCGGCGAGTGTATGCGGGTAAGCGAATACAGAGGTGAATTTATAGTCAAATCGGATCGAGGCGCAGCTAGACAGAGCAAAAGCTATTAATAGGATTCGAGCACATATATAGGAGAGAATGATTCATCGACCGATATTTAAGCGACCAACATTGAATATAGAGAGATATGTACATATACTATCACATGTGGTCATGAATACACGTTTATACAAACATGTTAGTGATCATAATAATACAAAGAGATATACAAATTGTTACTGTTCGAATAACATTGTCTGTTAAATAAGTTAACAAAAAGGCTTGACAAAAATTATTCGTAGGAGTGTTGCAATAATCCTTGGCATGGAGAAGTATTCCTGTTTTTTTTCGGGGGAAATTGACTACTTCTCTTTACACTCGGTTAATCTACATGAATAACAGCTCACATCACATTCGGATATGTTTTTCAGTATTTTAGTATGATACACACTAAAGTTCTTCTTTCTCTTATGGATTATATCATATATATATATATATATATATATATATATATATATATATATATATATATATATATATATATATATATACGTCCATTTAATCTTTAGTACAGTTAACGGATATAGACGTTATTCTAAATCGATGACCTACTTAATAACCATTGTATTAATAAAAAAAATTGATCGATAATAAGTAATTTACATAGCATTTGATATACGTCTATTATCCCAGTCAAATGACCATTTCATGAAATAAATCAACAATTCGTCTGTATCTAAAATTATATACATTCATTTAATGTCATTACGTTCAAATAATGATAACAAAGATCAGCCCTTTAATAACAATCAATGTTTCTCATAGAAACCATTTAAACAATGGATTACGTGAAATGTCACAAATTTATAAAATTCTTATACTGAAATACATTTTAAAATATCTTAAAGACAAATTGAATTTATATGTGTATAAACTTAAACAACAGTATCATACAAGATTGTATGTGTTTGACTGAAAATATACAATACTAGAAAAAAATTAATGTTAAGACAATCGTTAGGATGGTAACATTCCAACATTGATAGAATTCGAATTGTTCACAAGATGATATCATAGATATTTTGTTTAAATTAAATGTAATTTTTTTCAAGATTGATAACAGTTAAAAAATTATTCGAAATAGTATTCTTTGATTTCAAGTAGTTGTTTAACTAAAGTCATTCTGTTACGTAAACTATCTTCAAATATAATTTTATTTTTCTTTCGTTTTTCCATAAAACTGATTTGCCCATAGTATCGGTTAATGCATAAATTTTTCCTCCAGGTACAATCTCCAGTCATCGATCATTCTATTTTTTTAAATTTATTATATCATACACATTTTAGTGGCTTGGCTACGTTCAACAATCACCTTGATAACCGTTATCATATAAATTCCAACGCTGTTTAAATTCAGAAGGCAGTAAGAAGCAACGACTACAGTTTATTATTGGACAGTGCAGATAACAAAGTTACAAGCATATCGAGAGAATTTGAGAATAAACGCTAATGTGAGCGAGCGAAAACAGGCGAGTTCTGAATCAAATCGAATCGAGGCGAAGAGAAGCGAAGCAAGGTGAGGCAAGGACAATTAATAAGATTCGAGCACATATATAAGAAAGAGAATGATTCATCCGGCGATATTTAAGCGATAAACATTTAAGCTAGAGAGAGATATGTGCGTAGGCTGTCACTGTGGTCGAGCGTACACGTTTATGCAGACATGATAGTGATCATAATACTAAAGAGCGATAGACAAATTGTTACTGTTCGAATAACATTGTCTGTTAAGTAAGTTAATGAAAGGGCTTGACAAAATTAACCGGAATTGAAATTAATCGTAGGAGTGTTTCCATAATCAAATATTTCCATTAGAAGTACTTCATGATACTTTAATTATTTCGACCATGACGTAACTTCACATAAAATAAACATTAAATAAATGAATTTAATAGTTGAATTCATGAGTCCATTGAAACTAAACCACCATGGAAAACCTGGAAGCACTAGATGGCCATCCAACGGTGTTATTGTCTAACTTCAACCAACCTACGTAATTGAGCCACCGTTCAGCATTGTCTTCAGTGAGTTACTATCTCACCACAGACGCGGTTAAAATCCACTGGCTTTTCAGTGCTTCTAGGTTTTTCATGGTGGTCTAGCTTCAATTGACTCATGAACTCAACTATCAAATTACAATAATATCCACAAAAACTCCTGATATTAAATGAATTTAGTTAAATGCAACTGCTATCTGCCACCAATGATATATGTTACTATTTTAATTTTGATAAACATGAAAAAAGTGTATATAAACACATGGTTTTTCCAGATGATTATGCGTATATATAAAGAAATGATTTGGTAATAGCTTTTTATTGTAAGTAGTTACTCTGTTACCTCATTAAACAGTTTCAAGATTTTTTGACTTCCGAATAGGCCTGTAAAGTGCATTCATCATTTGTCCAGTGAATTTAATAGTTTCACACTCATCATTTCTTAAAGAATATGTTAACGCAGAGTGAATTTGGAGAAATAGAGTTTGAACTAATGACCTGATCGTTAAAAATTGAATTCTAAACCACCATAGTGCTTTAGGAATATATATGTACCCTATAGGAATGTAACAGATTCTTTCTTAGCTTTAAAGGGGAGCTAGAAACTCTTAAATCTTTTTACAATCTGAATAGAAAGACTTTATCCTATGGTGACATCAGTCGAGTATTATATAATCTATTGAAAAGAATCACTGGGATACACATGATAAGTGTTTCGTTCTGGTATGGAACTTCACAAAGTGTACACCTTAGACCTTATCAGTGATTGACCTCAAGAATTTCACATTTCGAGACGAATGCTTTATCATTAGACCAAAATGCTGACGTCCAGTGATACACATCACCAGCTTTAATCAATTCATCAAATAGGTTATACCCAATACAATTGGTGAATACTATTTCACTCCCAACATGTTTTAGATCTCCAGTCACAATTTTTTATCAAAATTCCATGAACACACCTTGGAGTAAACCGCTAGTTAGTACAAAAATATAGTTTTGATTAAAATTTTATGTCGAGATTAGTTTGATTTTTATTTACTATTTGAAATGGGTTAATATCAGTAATAATACCATTGAGTTACAATTCATTTATCGATTTGACATAATTTTTTAACTGTAAATATAATCCCCAACTTTATAAACAAAGGTGGATAGTGGCTAGCAGTGGAATTCACAACACGCGTTTCGTCCTATTTGGGACTCGTCAGCTGGATGTACGTGCATCTGAGTTGATGTTCACTCTGGGCTTCAAACCCAGTACCTTTTGCTTCAAACGCCATCGCGTCATCCACTAAGCTACTGAGCCCTGTTAGCCACTTGCTTGTGAAACGGGGTGAAGTTTAAATTCACTTAGTATTGTTTGTTTGAATCTTCCCAATGCGCAATACTCACAGTATACATATATGTCAATAAGAGACTGACCAGTTGCAGTTTTAAACCTCAATCGG